TTTCCATCTCTGCTTCATTATAAGGGGAAAGCCGTGCATTTGTTTGGAAGATTGAATGAGTTAATATTCATAAAAGTACTTACAATAGATTGAGGGAGTGGGTCTGACTGCTCAGTGGACATCAGCTATTATTGTCTTAAGTCTTCTGCATTGTTGTTTTCAATGCCCATAATAAGACAGTGGATCTAGTTGATTTATTCTAACGTCTATAATATTTGTTTGTATATATAATACATTTATTTCTGTTGGTGGATATTAGACATTTCCAAGTTTATTACAGTGCTGCAAGAAACACCCTTATACACATATCTGTGGGCACATATAGGGATCCCAAAGGGAACATGGAGAGGGGTTAGTTACTGGATTTTAGCTGTGCACCATTTGGCTTTACTCAGTATCACCAAGTAGTTATTCAGCCATGTATGATAGCTCCTATTTTGCCATATCTTACCAAAACGTGGTATAAAAAACTTTAACTTTGCAAATGGAATAATTTAAAATGATATTTCATTGTTAAATTTGCATTAACCATTGGTGAAATTTGTGCATTTTTTGGCTGTGTTTATTGGCTCTTTGGGGTCCCTTTTTGGTTAACTGTATGTTTAATACATATGTTTCAATGATGTATCATACTTTATTTATTTATTTATTTATTTATTTATTTATTTATTTTTTGTACAGAGAGGAAGGGAGAGAGATAGAGAGTTAGAAACATCGATGAGAGAGAGTCATCGATCAGCTGCCTCTTGCACACCCCCTACTGGGGATGTGCCCGCAACCAAGGTACATGCCCTTGACCGGAATCGAACCCGGGACCTTTCAGTCCCCAAGCCGACGCTCTATCCATTGAGCCAAACCGGTCTCGGCTCATACTTTATTTTTAAAATTAATTTGTAGGCAGCCTAGATATATTCAGATATAGAATAAAGGTTACACAAGTTTTAGGCTTGGACAGGTGGGTGGATTGTGTGCTATTTAGCTGGATGAAGAGGCGCAGTGGAAAACCAATTTTAGGAGGATACCAAGAGTTTACTTTCAGACAAGTTTGAGATGCTTTTGACTCATCCACAGAGCTAGGCTGTGCTGCAGAGATACATGTGGGAGTTGTCAGCTAACCGGTGGCTGCAACGTGATAGGAATGTGTGTGGTTATCTTCCGAGAGAAGCTGCACAGCGTGAGCCCACAGAACTGTCCACGGGAGGAGGCACAGAAGGGATGCTGAGCGGAGGGCGAGTAGAGAAAGACTAGAACTGTGTGAAACCATAGAAACCACAAGAGGGAACGGTTCCCTATTTCTTCTTCAGTTTTTGTAATGGCCGCAGGTTTCATTGTGTGGATGTCCCCTAACTGCTCTTGTGTTTGGAGTTTGGATTTATGCCAGTGCTTTTCTGTGATAAGCTACACTTTGACAAACATTCTTATAGGCTCATTCCCGCCCCGCTGGTTATTTTCTTGGATATACTCCTCTAGGTAGGTCAAAGAGTCTGCCTGTTTAAAAGCTTTTACTCTGCCGAGACCGGTTTGGCTCAATGGATAGAGCGTCGGCTTGGGGACTGAAAGGACCCGGGTTCGATTCCAGTCAAGGGCATGTACCTTGGTTGTGGGCATATCCCCAGTAGGGGTGGAAGAGGCAGCTGATCGATGACTCTCTCTCATTGATGTTTCTAGCTTTCTATCTCTCTCCCTTCCTCTCTGTACAAAAGTCAATAAAATATATTTTTAAAAAAATAAAAGCTTTTACTCTAAGTTGCACATGTCTCCTAGAAAGAATGCTTTTTTATTTTGACCAGAATGAGTTTGCTTTTTCTCCATTCCAGTGGCAGTGAAAAAGTGGTGAGACCTACATATTGCATACTGACATTTTTTCTTTTTCTTTTAAAAAAAAAAATATTTTAGCTGAAACTGGTTTTGCTCAGTGGTTAGAGCATTGGTCTGAGGACTGAAGGGTCTCAGGTTCGATTCCGGTCAAGGGCTTGTACTTTGGTTGCGGGCACCTCCCCAGTGGGGTGTGTGCAAGAGGCAGCTAATTGATGATTCTCTCTCATTGATGTTTCTAACTATTCCTCTCTCTTCCTCTCTGTAGAAAATCAATAATATATATATATATATATATATATATATATATATATATATATATATATATATATAATTGATTGACTTCAGAGGAAGGGAGAGGGATAGAGAGTCAAAAACATCAATGGGAGAGAAACATTGATTATCTGCCTCCTGCACATCCCTACTGGGGACGTGCCCACAACCAAGGTACATGCCCTTGCCCGGAATCAAACTTGGGGCCTTTCAGTCTGCAGGCTGACACTCTATCCACTGAGCCAAACTGGTTAGGGCCATTTTTTTCTTTTAGATACTGACATTTTTAATATTTGCAAAGTGTTCATAATTTATTTCACCTATTGTCTTCTTGTTTTTGGTATTACAACTAGTATTATAATTAACTAGAGGCCTGGTGCACAAAAATTCGTGAACTCAAGTGGGGTTGGGGGAGTCCCTCAGCCCAGCCTGTGCCCTCTGGTAGTTTGGGAGCCCTTGGAGGATATCCAACTGATAACACATTATTAGTGCTGCCGAAAAGGCGGGTGAGGCTCCTGCCACTGCCGCTGCTCTTGCCAGCTTTGAGCTGGGCTTCTGGCTGGGCTCCTGCATTGAGCGTCTGCCCCCTGGTGGTCAGTGCACATCATATCAACCAGTTGTTCTGCTGTTTGGTCTATTTGCATATTATTCTTTTATTGTATAGCACTAGAGGCCTGATGCATGAATTTGTGCATGGGTGGGGTCTGGTCAGTCCATCTCGATTAGGGCCAATTGGGGCGGCCTGCGTGTGGCAGGGGACGTGGGAGGTTGGCTGGCTGGCCCTGCCCCCATGGACAGGTTGGACAGCCGTAGTGCATGTCATAGCGACTGGTCATTCCAATTGTTTTAGTTGTTCAGTCATTCTGATCGCTTGGCTTTTATATATATAGGTAGTTGTTTTGTTTAAATTTTTGCTTATTCTTAACCTGTCCCTTAGAATAATTTCCTGAAAGTGGAAATGATGAGTCAAAAGTATTTGCATTTTTAAGGCTGTGGAAACATAGATACTGTAAATCATCTTCTAGAAAGTGTGTGCTCTTCTTATCAGGACATGGAAAGAAATATCCCTGATCTTTTACTTTTGGGAGTTGTCAGTGTGCATATGGTATTCCAAGGAATTATCTGGAGAACTACACCTTTCATTGTTTCTATCAGGCTAAATGCATCCAGTATGTCTTTATATGAAAACTATGTGCAAATAAAATTATTGAATAATACCATTTTCACACATTGCACGTCAAATTTTGAGGCCCCATATCTGAAAGGCTTGTATTCCAGCTATATTGTCTGTTCTGTGATTTAAGAATTAATTCCAATAGCATTGTGTTAGGGACCAAGTGATAGCGACATCTCCAGAGGACAAAGTGGGAGGAAATTTAAAGCTTCAAAGATTAATCCAGTGGCCATGGGGTCCCTTGGAAAAGGCCTGTCTCAGGTTTGAAATCATTTCCATTGAAAGTTCAGTCTCGCCCTAGCCGGCTTGGCTCAGTGGATAGAGTGTTGGCCTGTGGACTGAAGGGTCCCAGGTTCAATTCCAGTCAAGGGCATATGCCTGGGTTGCGGGCTTGATCCCCAGTAGGGGGCGTGAAGGAGGCAGCCGATCAATGATTCTGTCTCATCATTGATGTTTCTCTCTCTCCCTCTCCCTTCCTCTCTGAAATCAATAAAAATATATGAAAGAAAAAGAAAAACCAGAAAGTTCAGTTTTGCCCTAGCTGGTTTGGCTCAGTGGATAGAGTGTTGGCCTGCAGACTGAAGGGTCCCGGGTTCGATTTCGGTCAAGGGCACATGCCTAGGTTGCGGTCTCAAACCCCAGTAGGGGATGTGCAGGAGGCAGCGGATCAATGATTCTCATCATTGATGTTTCTATCTCTCCTTATCTCTTCCTCTCTGAAATCAATAAACATATATTAAAAAAAAAAGGAAAGTTCAGTTTCAAAGCCAGTGGAATTTTTGTTAGGTTGTTTTAATTTTGGAATCTGGTTGGCATTTCCCGTGTGTGTGGTGTGTGTATATATGTATTTATTTGTTTATCTTTTGTATTTCCTGTTTTGTCTGGTTTAGCAATTGACCAAAATAGATTCAGTTCTCTTTGACATGGGTCTTTTTCTTATACCTTTTTAAAAAATACATTTTTAAGATCAATCAAAGGACTTGCGTGCATACAAGTCTAACCAATAGACACAGACACCAGGGGGGTGAGGTATAAGTAGGGGGCATGGGGGTGTAATAGGGGGATAAAGACATATGCAATACCTTAATCAATAAAGAAAAAAAAATTTTTTTATTAACTTGAGAGAGAGAGAGAGAGAGAGAGAGAGAGAGAGATTGAGATTGAGCCCGAAACTTGGGCATATGCCCTTGACTGGAATCGAACCCAGGACTCTTCAGTCTGCAGGCAGATATTCTATCCACTGAGCTAAACTAGCTAGGGCTGACACACACGGGTCTTGTAGATGCTTTTGACTTAAAAAAAAAAAAAGTGACAAATAGTCCCTGTTGTGTTTGCACAAGGTACACATGTGGGTTCGAATCTGTGCAGATAGCAATTCCTACAGTGATACCCGAGTGTGGGCGTGAGATGTGAGCGCTGATCTCCCGGACACCGAAGAGGGGCGCCAGGGGGGAAGGGGGGCTCCCGCTGGCGTGGTGGGCGCCCTGCCCCTCCGTCCGGGGGCCTGCCAGCCCGGACGCCCACAGCGGGGTCCTCGGAGGGACCTGTCTGCGCTGCCCTCCGGAAGGGGCGGAGTCCGCGGCAGGCCCCGCCCCCAAAGGGGCCATCGGGAGGCGGGGCGGGACTTCCGCTCGCCAGGGGGCACTTCCGGGACCGCTGGCCGTCCCCGTCGCCGCGGGGGCTGTGTGAGCAGCGCTGGGCCGGTGGGCGCGCTGGGCTGCGGCCCCCGGGCCCCGCGATGCTGGGGAGCAGCCCCGAGGCCGCGGAGCGCGAGGCTGAGGGCGGCGGCGCGGGCGCTCTTCCCGCTCCGCCGGCCATCGACTTCCCGACGGAGGGCTCGGACCCCAAGTATGACGGTGAGGGACCCGAGCGGCGGCGGGCCTCCCCGGCCCCGTCCGCTTTCTCTCGGGGCAGCGCGGCCTGCTCCGGGGCTGGGCCCACCCTGCTGGGCCCGGGGCCCGCGGGGCCGGCGGGGCGGGGCGGCGGACCGGGCGTCCGCGGAAGGTGAACAGATGGGAGAGGCTGCGACCCGCTAGCTCGTTCGTTCGCGTTTCCGTTCTTTCCTCCGCGGACTCCGGGTTTCCCGGGCTCTGCCCGGCGGCGGGCGGGAGCGCTGTCAGCCGTCAGGAGGGGCTTTGCAGACGCTGCGCGGAGCCGTTGGGGCTGAGTTGGATTTATTGCTCCCCCGATAGGGCAGCAGCTGAAGACCTGTGCTAGTGAGGCAGTATGCAGAGCCGCCTCTTCTGTTAAAAACAAACAAAAAAAAAAAACTGCCCAAGTTCCCTGAGGCTTTTGGTTCCTGGGGCATATGGGATGTTACTGGGCAGCAGCATACAGGGGGGGAGAGGTGCTTGGAGCATGACGCTAGCCAGTCCGGAGTGCCCAGTCTTTTAATGACAGCGCAGTAGGCTCTTTAGTTGCAACTAGTTGCTTTGGCAACTTATTTTACTTTAAAATTTGTATTTGTTGATTGTTTTGAGAAGGGGGTAGGGGAGGAGAGAGAGAAACATCATTTTGTTGTTCCACCCACTTACGCATTCATTCGTTGATTCTTGTATGAGCCCTGATCCAGATGGAACCCACAACCTTGGCATGATCGCACAAAGTAAGTTGTGCTATTAAGAATGAATCATCGCCTGGAGTAGCTCAGTGGTTGAGCATTGACCTCTGGACCAGGAGGTCACAGTTCCATTCCCGGTCAGGGCACAGGCCCTGGTTGCAGGCTCTATCCCCACTCTGGGGAGTGCAGGAGGCTGCTCCTCAGTGAAATTCTCTCATCATTGATGTTTCTCTCTCTCCTTCTCCCTTCCACTCTGAAATCAATAAGGATGTATCTTATTTTATTTTTTATAAATATATTTTTATTTATATCAAAGAGGAAGGGAGAGGGAGAGAGAGAGAGAAACATCAATGATGAGAGAGAATCACTGACCGGCTGCCTTCTGCACAGCCCGAACTGGGAATTGAACCCGCAACCCATGCATGTGCCCTTGACGGGAATTGAACCTGGGACCCTTCAGTCCACAGTCTGAGATATTCTATCCACAGAGCCAAACCAGCGAGGGCAAAGATTTATTTAAAAAGGAAGAATGAATACATGGATTCAGGGAGGTTTTTATATGCAGTGGTTTGAATAGGATGGTTATAGAGAATACACATTCAGTTGAAGCATGAAACAACTCTTAACATGTTAAAATCAATTTAAAGGTGCAAGCCAAGTTGAAAAGGTTCTAATTTCTTCAATTCTTCAATTTTCATCCTTAATTCCCGCTGTAACTCTTGATTCCAGAGGGATGCGATGCAGACCGCGGAGTCGGTCACAGAGGATGCTGGGAGATAACTGTTTGCAGTGGCAAACGGGTGTTTCCCGCACTTCAGGTGGCATTCAGAGCAGCTCCCTAGTAAATACGTTATGTCACAGAAACAGTCCCAGCTGTAAAGGTGAAAGCCTGCCTCTCTGGAACGTGGTGATAAGGTTTTCTGCAAACTGAAGATTATGCTTGAAGCGTGTGATCTTAGATTAGCTTCTAAAAATTCCCTTCTCCTAGGTTACTCCTTCTACTGATGTGTTTACATAGTGCCTTTCTTCCAATGAAGCCCAGCAGGTCCAGACAGAATTTACCTTTCTATGTGGAAAGTGAGGTCCGTGAAGAGTAGTTTTTAAAAAAATATATTTTATTGATTTTTTTACAGAGAGGAAGGGAGGGAGATAGAGAGCTAGAAACGTCGATGAGAGAGAAACATCGACCAGCTGCCTCTTGCACATCCCCTACCAGGGATGTGCCCGCAACCAAGGTACATGCCTTGACCGGAATCGAACCTGGGACCTTTCAGTCCGCAGACCAGCGCTCTACCACTGAGCCAAACCGGTTTCAGCATATTTTATTGATTTTTTTACAGAGAGGAAGAGAGAGGGATAAAGAGTTAGAAACATCGATGAGAGAGAAACATCGATCAGCTGCCTCCCACACACCCCCCACTGGGGATGTGCCTGCAACCAAGGTACATGCCCTTGATGGGGATCGAACCCGAGACCCTTCAGTCTGCAGATCGATGCTCTATCCACTGAGCCAAATTGGTTAGGACAATTTCCATTCTTTCTAATGGGAAAAAATGACTGTTTTTTTTAACAAATCACCTCTCGAACAGCCTTCCAGAACTAATTGCGTTCAAGAAGCAAGGTTCCACTGTACTGAGAAAACACAGATATTTACATTACGATTCATAACAATAGCAAAATTACAGTTATGAAGTAGCATCAAAAATAATTTTATGGTTGGAGGTCACCCCCACATGAATTGTATTAAAGGGCCGCGGCGTTAGGAAGGTAGAGAGCCACTGGCCTCCCCCGTCCTGGTGACAGGAGGCGGTCCCGCTGGTTTGCTTGAACAGCCACTCATTGGTTTCTTCATTCCTACCTTTGTGTGTGTCCTCACTCCCGAAACTTCTCCCTTCTGCTAGGCCTCCAACTTCCAGAATGCCACTCAAACTCAACTCCAAAAAGTCTGTCTCGATTAACTCCCCTCAGCTTAACTACTGTGTTCTTTTTAAAGCCTAGTTTTATTTATTTTTAAATATGTCTTCGTCGATTTTAGAGAGAGGAAGGGAGAGAGCTAGAGATAGAAATACTGATGAGAGAGAAGCATAATTGGTTGGCTGCCTCCTGTATGCCCCCTACTGGGGATTAAGCCTTCAACCTGGGCCTGTGCCCTGATTGGGAATCGAACCGGTGACCTCTCGGTTTATGGGCGTTGATGCTCAACAACTGAGCCACACAGCTGGGCTGTGGTGTTTTTTCCCCCCTTAAAGTTACATAGTTTGTTTCTTTAATTAGAATGTGTTATTTTGTCATTCTGAGGTATGTTTGCCATTTATTACAATTTTTCCTTCTTTAATTTTTAGAATCTGATGTTCCAGCCGAACTCCAGTTGTTAAAAGGACCGCAGCAGCAGCAGCAGCAGCCGACCTTCCCCTTTGCAGTTGCCAACCAGCTATTGCTTGTTTCTCTGCTGGAACATCTGAGCCATGTGCATGAACCAAACCCGTTGCGTTCAAGACAGGTGTTTAAATGTTAGTAAGAATCAACTCATCTTGCTGCATAACACTTGTAAAAGAATATGGCATTTAATGCTGTGGGCCCGAGAAGCAGCGGGTATATAAAAATTTGAAATAAGTATTAATAGCTTATATTTTTTAAAATATATATATTTTTAAAGTATATGTTATTGATTTTTTACAGAGAGGAAGGGAGAGACATAGAGAGTTAGAAACGTCAATGAGAGAGTAACATCAACCAGCTGCCTCTTGCACACCCCCTACCGGGGATGTGCCCGCAACCAAGGTACATGCCCTTGACCAGAACCGAACCCGGGACCCTTCAGTCCGCATACTGACGCTCTACCACTGAGCCAAACCGATTTTGGCTAAAAATATTTTTTTTACTGATTTCAGAGAGGGAAAAGGAGAGAGAGCTAGAAACACCAATGATGAGAGGGAATTATTGATCAGTTACCTCCTGCACACTCCCTTCTGGGGATGGAGCCCACAACCCGGGCATGTGCCCTGACCTGGAATTGAACCGTGACCTGGTTCATAGTTCCATTCTCAATAACTGAGTCACGCTGGCTGAGCAATATAGTTTATATTTATTTATTTTTATTTTTTTATTAAAAACATTTTATTTATTGATTGATTTTAGAGAGAGGAAAAGAGAAACATCAATTTTTCATTCCACTTGTTCATGCATTCAGTGGTTGTTTAATGTATGAGCCCTGATCAGGGACCAAACCATAAGCTTGGCACATTGGAACTATGTTCTAACCCAGTGGTCAGCAAACTCATTAGTCAACAGAGCCAAATTAGTTTATATTTCTTAAAATTCATGTTATATTTTGCTTTGGGTAATTCCTTATGAATATAACTAGAGACCTGATGCACGAAAATCGTGCAAGAGGCTCGGCCCTTGCAGACCCGGCTTCATCCGGAAGGTCATCTGGACAGTCATTCTGCTGTCCAGTCTAATTAGCATATTAGCTCTTTATTACATAGAATTAATAGGTACCCTGAAAGATTAATAACCATAAATTGTGCATATTTAAATACACAAGAGATAGGTTTTTTTGTATCTATAACATGATAATCCATATAATGTGTGAAGCTCTCTCTCTTTTTTAATATATTTTATTGATTTTTTTACAGAGAGGAAGGGAGAGGGATAGAGAGTTAGAAACATCGATGAGAGAGAATCATCGATCAGCTGCCTCTTGCACACCCCCTACCGGGGATGTGCCCACACTAAGGTACATGCCCTTGACCGGAATCCAACCTGGGACTTTTCAGTCTGCAGTCTGACGCTCTATCCACTGAGCCAAACCAGTTTCGGCTGTGAAGCTCTCTTATGGTTTAGTTGGTTATCAGGTGAATGAAAGTCATGGATAATCATTTTGAACCAGGTCTTGACCAGAGGACTGGGCCAGCAGGATTTTGTGTTGTTGAATGAGAAACTGGTTTCTTTGCACTAAATGATTTTAACACCAGTTGTGTGGTGGTTCTTTTCCTGCACTACCCAGCTCTCTGTGGATTAAGATATTCCGTAATAGAAACAATAATGAATACTCACTTTTGTTCATTCTAATCATATATTTCCACTGCTGCCTTTATTCTTATCTCAGTGCCTGTTTGCAGAATGAAATATGTTTGAAAATCCGAAGACTGCTGTGTTTACATTTTTCTTGCCTTTTTAAAAGATGGAGCTTAGGATTTCACTGACCAGCCAGGATTGTAAACAAATGACTGGCTGTTCAGTGGCAGAGAAGTCAGTGTAAATGTGCTCCTGACCAGCGAGCGTACCAGTTGCTTCCCTTTGACAGAATCACTCCCCAAGTTGTAATGTGTTTGTTGAGCGGAACTTTTCTCCTAGAGGCTGTTACCACTCTCCATGCTCTGAACTCTTCAAAAGTGCCGTTAGCGCAGCCGGATGTGGCTCAGTGGCTGAGCATTGACCTAGACCTAGACCTATGAACTAGTGTTTCCCAAACTTTTGACATAAGTGTACCCCTTCTATGATTTTTGTAACACTGAGTACCCCTCGTACTCATGAGAACATAGAATTAGGCGCAGCTAAGCACGGTGCAGTGCACATCCCCACCAAACTCCGGTGCAACGCGTACCCCCACCAAACTCTTCCCGTACCCCTGGGGGTATGCGTACCGCACTTTGGGAAACACGGAAAGGCCATGGTTTGATTCCTGGTCAGGACACATGCTTGGGTTGTGGGCTCAGTCCCCAGTAGGGGGCGTGCCGATTGATGATTCTCATCATTGATGTTATCTCTCTCTCTCTCTCTCTCTCTCTCTCTCTCTCTCTCTCTCTCTCTCTCTCTCTCCCCCTGTCTCTTCCTCTCTGAAAAAAATAAAAATAAAATTGCCATTTTATTGATGGCCTTCCTAATAGTTTTCCTTATTCTTTTTCTAGTACTCTGTCAGACTTTCATCAAAATGGGGCTGCTGTCCTCTTTCACCTGCAGCGATGAGTTCAGCTCATTGCGACTCCATCACAACAGAGCCATCACTCACCTGATGAGGTCGGCCCGAGAGGCAGTTCGCCAGGTAAGCGTCAGACTCTGTACTTGGTGTGACAGAACGTCTTGATTTCCAGAGGACTGTTTTTTTTTTTTTTTTTTGAAAATGTGAAAATCTTTTTATTACTTCAAAGGAAAAGATGATTCTAATGATAAATATGACAAGTAATTTTATCCTTAAAATTTTTTTTTTGGCCTTTGTAGATGCCAACAATTGCTTCTTTCTTTTTCCAGTTGACAGCAGTTTTAACATTTGTTACATTTAAAAAAAAATTAAATTATTATCTGTGTACATATTTTAACATTGTCCCCCTTCCCATACATACCCTCCCTCCCCCGAGTTTTGTGTCCATTGGTTGTACTTACATGCATGTATACAAGTCCTTCGGTTGATCTCTTATCTCCCCCAGATCTCCCTACCCTCCCCGCTGTAATTTGACAGTGTGCTTGTTGTTTTACTGTCTTTATATCTACCTTTTGGTTCATCAGTTTATAATGTTCTTTCAGAGGACTGTATTTTAAAGCCTTATGAGATCCTGATTATAAAGAGGTTTATAAAATGTTTAACTTTAATTTGTTTATTTAACAACTATTTATGAATGGCTGCTATGTGTTAGGTTCTCTAGTATGTGGTGGGGTTCAAGCAGTAAGCAAAATAGACAGAATCCGGCCTCAGGGAGCTTCTGTTGTAAAGAGCGGGTAGTAAGCAACAAAAAAATAGAAATGTGTAAAAATAAATGGGGTAGATCGTGGTAAGTGTTAAGGAAGAATATGAAGCGGGGAAGGAACTTAGAAAATGTGCGAATGTTAACAGAGGGTGCCAGCAAGGGCCTCCCTGAGACGCCTGTAAGTCAGGAGCTGAGGCTGAGAGGAGGAGCCTAGAACAGTGGTCGGCAAACTGCGGCTCGCGAGCCATATGCGGCTCTTTGTCCCCTTGAGTTTTTAGCAAAGGCCAGCTTAGGAGTACCCTAATTCAGCTAATAACAATGTACCTATGTATATAGTTTAAGTTTAAAAAATGTGGCTCTCAAAATAAATTTCAATCGTCGTCCTGTTGATATTTGATTCTGTTGACTAAGGAGTTTGCGGACCACTGGCCTAGAGGAAAAGCACTGCAGTGGAGGCACAGTAGCTCCCCGTGAGCAGTGGGCAAGGTGTAGGGGGAGCTGGAAAGGCAGCCGTGCGGCTGGAGTGAGCAGGGGAGCGTGGTGGGGGTAAGGGGGCAGGAAGAGGGACGATGGATGGGACAACAGAGTCGGCTTTGAGACCGTTTTAATGTCTTCGGTGTTCACTCAGAGTGAAGCAGGCAGCATTGCTGGATTTTGAGCAGAAGAAAGGTATCATGTGACTTAACGATTTAAAGGGACCAACCAGCTTCTGTGTTGAGAATAGACTGAGGGGAGCCAAGGGGAAAAGAGGGGCACTGGTGCAGTCACAGAGGCAAGAAGAGGTGGCGGCGGCATGGAATGGGTGGTAGCCATGGAGATTTCTGCATATATTTTGGAGGTAAAAATCACCATTTGCTTATGGTGCTCCTTGGTACAATCTCAGCTTTGTCAGTGGGTAGCAAGAATGTAGCTTTATTATTAGTAATCTTCTGGTTAAGAGAAATATATTTTCAATTATAAATTTTTAGGTAATGTTGAAAAAGCCATTGAGTTTTTTTTTTTTTTTTAAATATGTTTTATTGATTTTTTACAGAGAGTAAGAGAGAGGGATAGAGAGCCAGAAACATCGATGAGAGAGAAATATCGACCAGCTGCCTCCTGCACATCCCCTATTGGGGATGTGCCCGCAACCAATGTACATGCCCTTGACTGGAATTGAACCTGCGACCCTTTAGTCCGCAGACCGACACTCTATCCACTGAGCCAAACCAGTTTCGGCAATTGAGTCTTATCTATGCTAATAATAGAGGAATATACAAATTATCTGGGACTCCATCACAGTAACGAACGAACAGCAGGCTGCATGGAGTGACAAGGCCAGCAGGGGGGTTAGTGAGGGACAATCAAACAACTGAACAGCAGCCTGTGTGGGGTGACCAGGTTGCGGGTGGGAGGGGGGCAGTTGGGAGCGATCAGGCCTACTAGGTGTGATCACGCGGGGGTAGGGGGGGCAGTCATTTAGGGGCGATGAGGCAGGTGAGCAGTTAGGAGCCAGAGGTCCCAGATTGGAGAGGGTGCAGGCTGGGCTGAGGGACTCCCCCTCCCCCCCATGCACGAATTTTGTGCACCATGACTCTAGTTTTTTAATTTTGTGTAAGCATTTGAGACTATTATATATGACATTGAATTTTGATAGATTCCTTTTTCCATAAAAATTTCAAAATGCTTTTAAAAATAATTTTTTTATTTTATTTTAGGATCCTTGTGAGGATAGTTCTCATATTCCAAAGATCAGGTCTGTATCAAATACTTTTGTGATTATTTAAATACTAACTATCTAGTCAGGATTAAGAATTAATCCTGAATTAATTAGAAATGAGTTTTGAGTTTTAAAATACTATAGTTAGTATAGTTTATGCAAATTAAAAACTTTATTCTTGGCAATTAATTACTGCTCCAAGATTTGCTTTAATTCTCATTTCCCTCCTTTAAATAATAATAAAAAAAATGTTTTGTTTGTTTTTTGCTTTAAAATGTTTTTCTTCATTTTTAATCCCCTGCTCTCCTTATTCACTGTGGATTCCATAAGCCCCAATCCTAATGCAGGGCACTGATATCTGGTCTCTGTCAGGGAAAACCATTGAATTTTGTCTGTGTTTAGGAAGTGTTAATATAAAATCTGTAACTTGTCTGGGAATTTAAGTGACTTTATTACTGAACTCCACTAATCTTTTGCTTGTTAGTTAATCATTAAGTACTTATTACTGGTAAAATACTTAAAATTAGATTAATGATGCTCTTGCTATCATATCGACCTGTCAATTTGCTTAGCAACTGTTTTCTTCCTAGAGAATGAAGAATTTCATTAAAAAATATTTTTATTGATATCAGAGAGGAAGAGAGAGGGAGAAAGAGGTAGAAACATCAGTGATGAGAGAGAATCATCAGTCAGCTGTCTCCTGCATGCTCCACCCTGGGGATGGAGCCCCGGGCATGTGCTCTGACCAGGAATCCAATCGTGACCTCTTGGTTCAGAGGTTGACATTCAGCCATTGAGCCGCACTGGCCGCTCTGAAAATTTTCACTTTAGCTCATCCTTTTCAAATCACCACAATTTAGTGATGAAGGAAGTTAGAAGGTTAGAGGTAAAACAGGGACATGAACTGCCTGGAACATCCTGATGTGCTCATGCTTTAACACTGGCTGTTTGTTTTCACTTTCAGATCCAGGGAAGTAGCCTTTGAAGCACAGACGTCACGTTACCTAAATGAGTTTGAAGAGGTTTCCATCCTGGGGAAAGGTGGATATGGCAGAGTGTACAAGGTGGGTTTCTGCATGTCTTTTTTACCCACTCCTTAAATGTATTGTGGAAGTTGTTTTCAGTATTGAAAGTACGCAAAGGAAAATTCCTAGAAATTGTCCCCGTTTACTTTTCACCACGATTTGTCCTTTATGGGGGAGTGGGCAGGTGTTCCCTTTTTCCTAATCACATTGGTGGGTTGGTGATTCGGGTTGGTGAGTTTTTGCCCTGTAGCTACCTTTTACATAAAATGTATTACTGAGAAGGCTTGTGCTGCTGTTTTTGGGCTTCACAGAGCCCTTTGGCCAACGCTGCCAGTCTTCCGCCCCGGGGGCTTCTGGGAGTTGGCTCTCATTGCATTTGAAAGCCTGTTGTCTAGCTGAGCACCATAGCAAAGAGCTTCGGAGTCTGTACCTTAGTTTTATCATCTCTTTGGCTCGTTTGGATGGTCTGAGTTCAGGTGAAAGAACTTTCTTTATTGGGTTGAAATTTAATGGCACAATGTGCTTTGTCTTTTTCTCTACTTTTTAGGTCAGGAATAAATTAGATGGTCAGTATTATGCGATTAAGAAAATCCTGATTAAGGGTGCAACTAAGACAGATTGCATGAAGGTAAGATTTTAAAAAATGTATTTATTTTGAATAATTGAGTATTTGTTTTTTTGAAAGAGTGTCTGTGTGTGTGTGTGTGTGTGTGAGAGAGAGAGAGAGAGAGAGAAAGAGAGAGAGAGAAAGAGAGAGAAAGAGAGCGCCAGTATTTGACAAATACTAGGTGGTATGGCTTGCCAGTTTACTAAGAATGGGCTACAGTAACATAAACATCAGAACTAAATTTATTTGACTTAGTTTTTTACAGGCATTTCGTGTTGGCCACATTTCAGGGTCATTGCTGGGGACAGTAATTTTTAAATTAAATTATTCATATACAATACAAGTTGCTATTAAATAAAAACTATGAGCTCAGTCCAGGTCCCAGTCTTTTCCCTGCCATGCTGTGTGGTCCTGGGCACATTACCTGGTCCTCCAGGTCACGTCTATCTTCCGCCCTTGACGGCAGGTTTTATTCACCTTGTGAACTGGACTTCCCTATAGGAGAATGAGGGTAAATGAACACGCAGAGCATAAAGTGCCACATATATGTAAGTTTAGTGGCTATCACAATTGTTTTGGTCTCTCATAAAGATATTCCTGTTGCTTTAACATCGTTTGGACTGCTTGTACAGAGGGCTTTTTCTGTTTGCTCTGGAAGAAGTGGTAGCATTTGGTACCATGAGCATCTAACAAATTGCTGGTGAGAGCTCAGTTTTAACGCTGCTTCTCCTTCAGGTGCTGCGGGAAGTGAAGGTGCTGGCGGGTCTTCAGCACCCCAACATTGTGGGCTATCACACTGCGTGGATCGAGCATGTGCACGTGGCCCAGACGCCAGGTAAGCAGTGTCAGGTGAGGCAGAGTTGAAGGTGGGCGGAGCTCATTCTTTTATGTTTTTACATTTTTTTTTTTTTTTGCACATAGTATTCCTACAAGGATACTGTCTTTTTTTTTTTTTTTTTAAATATATTTTATTGATTTTTTTACAGAGAGGAGGAGAGAGGGATAGAGAGTCAGAAACATCAATGAGAGAGAAACATCGACCAGCTGCCTCCTGCGCACCCCCTCCTGGGGACGTGCCCACAACCAATGTACATGCCCTTGACCGGAATCGAACCTGGGATCTTTTAGTCCGCAGATTGACACTCTATCCACTGAGCCAAACCGGTTTCGGCATATGTTTTTTACATTTTAAAAAATATTAAAAGGCATGAAAAGAAGAATATTTAGTGGAAATTATATGAAATACCTCTTCAGTGACAATAAATGCAGTTTATTAAACAAAGGCTCACATTTGAGTATTGCCTGTGGCTGCTTTTGTCCACAGTAGTGGAGTTGAGTAGCTGCAGCAGAGTCTCGGGGCCCGAGAAACCTGACCTGTCCATCACCAGGCCCTGCTCAGAGAGCGTGCTGAGCCTTGTGTGGAGGGACAGCTGTTCTATGGTTCCTTACATGTGCCAGTTGTTTGAATAAGCTTGTGTTGCACTTTGCCAGAAGATCATCGCATTTTTATTTTATTTTTTTGTTAATCCTCACCCGAGGGTATTTTTTCCATTGATTTTTAGAGAGTGCAAGGGAGGGGGAGAGACAGAGAGAGAAACATCAATGTGAGAGAGACACATTGATTGGTTGCCTTTCACACGAGCCCCAACTGGGGGCTGGGAATCAAACCTGCAACCTCAGTACCTGCCCTTGACTGGAATCGAACCCAGGACCCTTTAGTCCATGGCCGATGCTCTGTCCACTGAGCGAGACTGGCCAGGACTGTCATGACATTTTTATTATTATTATTTTTTAAGTATATTTTTATTGATTTTGTACAGAGAGGAAGGGAGAGAGATAGAGTTAGAAACACCAATGAGACAGAGTCATCGATCAGCTGCCTCTTGCACAACCCTACTGGGGATGTGCCCACAACCAAGGTACATGCCCTTGACCGGAATCAAACCCGGGACCTTTCAGTCCCCAAGCCAACGCTCTATCCATTGAGCCAAACCGGTTTTGGCAGTCATGACGTTTTTAGATAGGTGGTTTCGCTTGGCATTATGTGTATATTTCTGCTCTGCCTGTGACTGAATTAGGAAACGGGCTGCTTGAAGGTTTGTTCTGTGTTTGTTCCGCAGAGAGGATTCCTGTCCCGCTGCCGTCGCTGAGAGTGATCTCCGCCCAGGACGACAGGTGTGCGCGCTGTGAGCCTCTCGGGTCAGACACTGCCTCCCAGCGGCTGCCCTGTCTGTGGCTGTTTCACACTTCGTGTTTGCTTATTTTCTGTATGAAATGTTAAATTATTTTTTCCCCTTAGATATTTCCTGTCAGTATTTTAAATAAATGCAGTTGCTAGGTAGATTTGATGCCCTTCTCCCCCAGGGCTTTACCAGTAAGCATTACGCAGACCTGAAGGAACAGTCGCGTTACTCTTGATCTCTTTTTTACATTGATGATGGATTATTATCTTTTCTGTTTTTTTTCAGTAATCAGTCTGATGTTAAAACTGATGAAAGTAACAGCTCATCCATTATCTTCGCCGAGTTCACCTCAGAAAAAGAAAAGCTCTTAGGAGGGCCTGGCACTGAAAACCAGAATAACAAACTGGTGAACTATACCCCCAGTCTGGTCACCAGAGAGGCCGGGGGGTTTGGGTTACCCGCTGAGCTGGAACACGGCGTGGCTGAGCTGTCTTCCCGATCGACGGCTGAGAGCCAGCTGCCCCTTCGGCTTCATTCAGACTTAGAGGAAAACTTCACCTCCACCGAGGACTCGTCTGAAGAAAACTTCAACACGGTGGGACAGACAGAGGTAGATTTCACGTTTACTCGTAGTAATCGTACCGTGGACTGCGGTTAGACATGGCCGCCCCTCTCCCCAGCTGGCTTCCTCCCTCTCTGCTCCAGCCCTTCTGTCCTGTGTTCAGTCCCTCTGTCCACGTTCTCCATGTGTTTGAACTTCAGCCTCCCCTTAGTTAACGTGCCCTTTTCGGGGTCATCTCTTCCTTCCAGTGGTTCTCACCCTTCCTAACGCCGCGACCCTTTAACACAGCTCCTCATGTTGTGGTGACCCCCCAACCATAAAATTACTTGCGTTGCTACTTCATAACTGTAATTTTGCTACTGTTATGAATCATAATGTAAATATCTGTGTTTTCCAAAGGTGTTAGGCGACCCTGCTAGCGGTTCTCAACCTGTGGGTCACACTGGGTTATAAGTAAAATATTTATACAGATTTTCTACATGGGACCAGTGTCGTGTCGCCTCCTAGATGCAATACCACCTGATGCTGTCACGACCCACAGGTTGAAAACTACTAGCAGGGTCACCGAAGACCATCGGAAAACATATTTACATTACGATTCATTAACAGTAGCAAAATTACAGGTATGAAGTAGCAACGAAAGTAATGTTATGGTTGGGGGTCACCACGACATGAGGAGCTGTATTTAAGGGTCGCGGCACCAGGAAGGTTGAGAATCACTGCTCTAGACAGTGTCATACATGTACCCCGGCGTGGGAAGCACGGTGCACGGTCTGTTTCTGTTGTACGTTAACACTGGGTTATAAGTCTGTATTTATGCAGATGGATTTTCTCCATTGGAGCATGGCTTTACGAGAGTCCCAGGAGGATACAGGCCATGTTCCAGGCGACGCTTGCTGAGGGTCACACTGATGTGCCGGTGAGGCGCCACCGTGCTCGCTCCATGCCAAGTGTTAGTGTTAAAAGCTTGAAGATGAAGAGGGCCTGCACAAAACTGGTCATATTAGATTCCAAAACTATGTGTACATGCAGAATTAACTCTCGTTGTCCAGGAACACGTGGCGTGTGCAAGTGATTTTTTATGAAACTTTGAACATAAACCTGAATACAAAGGAGTTGGGTTTGAAGAAATTTTATTCAAAAGAACTTTATTTCTCTGTGTAAATTTGGAAAAATTTCCTGATGCCTAAATCAGTGGGCTACAGTGAGCTAAATTTTTGCTTACTTTTTCCTTGGACAGGTTATTAGTTATGCACAATGGGAAGCTAACCACACTGTGTGCACTGGCGGTATACACAGAGTAACAGATAGCAGATAGCCATCCTTTTCTACTTGTCTAGAGGGGCCCAGTGCAAGAAGTTCAAGCACAGGTAGGGCTGCCAGCTATCGCCAAGGCCTTCCACAGCTGCCAGCAGCTGGATGGCTGGAGCCTTCCTTCGCCCCCTAGTGGTCAGCGCACATCATAGCAAGTGGTTGAACTCCCGGTCTTTTGAACTCCTGAGGGGACAATTTGCATATTAGCTTTTTATTTTATAGGACAGGATTTTAGCTTTCAAAACTGTTCATGCAGTGAGCAGACCAAACAGTGTCAGTGCCTCAGTGTCACATTCAAGAGCTGCTCCCGTTTGACACCTGCCTAACCCCAGCAGGCCTCCCCTTGCCCTCTTGGAATGTGACACACAGTTTTAAGTATTGCTTTCCTTCTTCGTCTCCTTCATCAGACCTTGGGCATCTTGTGCAGGCCTGTGTGTCACTTTTATCCTCATCACTCAGCCAGTACGTTGCCTAGAGCAGGCCAGTGAGTATTTGTTGGCTGAATGACTAATGTAAGAAATGGGACCAGTGTTGTGTCGCCCCCTAGATGCAATACCACCTGATGCTGCACATCCAGATGCAGCTGTGTGAGCTCTCCCTGTGGGACTGGATCGTGGAGAGGAACAGGCGGAGCCGGGAGTGTGTGGATGAGTCTGCCTGTGAGTACCGTGCAGGTGCGGGGCGGTGGGGTGAAGACAGGAGGGCCCGCCGCCTCCTGCTGCCAGGCCTTTCGATGGAAAAAAATCTGTTTAAAACCAAAACAACAATTATGCTTATTTCAGCATTTTTCGAAAACAGATAGTAATTGGAAATTAATTTTCTCTGACTGATATTTAAGCAGCAATGTGCTAGAATTTAGGAAACTGATTTAGGGTGGAAAATATTTTTTAAAAATTTAAGGAAAAAATTTTAAATACTTGTTCTTATTTTTTTAACCTGAAAATGTGGTATTCTTACAAAAAGAAACTGTGAAAGAAACCATTATAGGAAGGCAGGTGATCAAGTTTGTCTCTCTCAAGCTCCAGATCTCCCTCCCTCTCCTGCAGCTGTATATTCCCTAGAAATGCTGTATTATAGAAATATTTGTGTGTATATATATCTCCTTACCCAATGATATGTCTTTATTGATTGTAGAGAGAGGAAGGGAGAGGGAGAGAAGGAAGACGGATATGAGAGAGAAACATCAATCGGTTGCCTCCTAGACACACCCTGACTGGGGATTGAACCTGCAACCAAGGGTGCATGCTCTGACCGGCAATGTAACCCTCAACCTTTGGTGTATGGTATGACACTCGAGCCAACTGAGCCATACAAGCCAGGGAGTCAGATTAATACATATATATATATATATTTTTTTTAAAATATATATATATTTATTTCAGAGAGGAAGGGAGAATGGGAGAGAGATAGAAACATCAGTGATGAGAAAGTATCATTGATCGGCTGTTTCTTGCACGCCCCCTGCTGGGGATCAAGCCCGAAACCCGGGCATATGCCCTGACCTGGAATTGAACTGGTGACCTCCTGGTGCATGGGCCAATGCGTAACTATTGAGCCACACTGGCCGGGCTAGCAGGCTAATTTTTAAGTAGATAATTTTATATGGCCCTTGAATGATGTTATAAATATCCACATGGCCCAAAAAGTTTCCTCACTCTTGTCTAGTGGAACCATTGCTTTCACATACACAGATCCCGAAATTGTGTGCTAGGAAGCATAAAGGAGGGGGTGGAGTAGGTGTGAGCTGTTGATAACAAAGCAGGCTCATTTGGGGTGGAGAAAGGGACCCACTGTGTTCTTGTTTTTGTTTTTGTTTTTTTAAATATATATATATATATATATTTATTATTGATTTTTTACAGAGAGGAAGGGAGAGGGATAGAGAGCTAGAAACATCAATAAGAGAGAAACATCAATCAGCTGCCTCCTGCACACCCCCCACTGGGGATGTGCCCAAAACCAAGGTGCCTATATGCCCTTCACTGGAATCGAACCCAGGACCCTTCACTCTGCAGGCCAATGTTTCATCCACTGAGCCAAACCGGTCAGGGCAAGTGTTCTTGTACTTGAAGGTCAGCAATAGGTTGAGGATTTAAAATGACTTGAATACAGAAGAACTAATAAGTTCCCACTATATTATTAAACTTCTTGGCTGGAAACGTCAGGATTTTTTTTTTTTTTCTTATCAATTTTTTATTTTATTTCTAGTCTTACAAACCTCTCCACCCTCTAAATTCATACGCTCTGTCATCATATTAAAGATGAATTATTCAGTCATTTACTTTTTCTCCATATACTTCATTTGTCTTCCATTTTCAAAATGTGCATTCTAAATCCGGATGACGAAGCTCACCCCTTGCAGTGAACAGAATTTACCCTCTTACTTTATTCTGTGTAATAGGACCTGCAGACCCAGTGGGCCAGGACACCAGATTCATAGGGTGAAGGGGACTCCCACGTGATTCAGTGTGGCCGCCTGGTGCCTGGGAACTGCTTGCTGGGTGATTGCCACGGGGGCTCGGAGTGAGCTGGGAGGTCTCTGTGGGGACAGACGGTTGAGGTGGCCGCTAGTTTTCGATGGCATCTTGGCTGAGGAATCCTCTAGAAACCATTCTCTGGAGCATTGACTTCGTTGAAAATCTGAAAGTGTCAGATAGATGTTAATGTATTTAGACAATTGACATTGAGATATTAATGAGTAAAAAAAAAATTAGAGAGAGAAAACTCTTTTTTCTTTAACTTCAGGTCCTTATGTAATGGCCAGTGTTGCAACAAAAATTTTTCAGGAATTGGTGGAAGGTGTGTTTTACATCCACAGCATGGGGGTTGTGCACAGAGACCTGAAGGTAAGTGGCAAAGATGGAATCTTTAAAACCTCTTATCAGGGCTGAGTTGGTGTGGATTCATTGAATTAAGGGGACTGCATACCCTCGCTCATTTATTCATTTATCCAGAAGGGTGCCATTAATTTCATGTAAATCGTCATTTTTTAGGTTCAGAACATAAAAACTTGATTGAATGTAAAAGCAGTAAACTCTGGGCATTTGAATACTCTCACTGTTTTTCCGGTAGTAAGTGTGTTCTGAGTACTGCTATAATTGGTGATGCTAAGTGTATTTCATGCTGACAAAAATATTCATCCATTCAGAGGTAAAAATCTGTTTTTATGATGATTTATCTTAAAGGAAATTTAACATAGGAATTTCCATTCTGCTGTTTTCAAAATCCATAGTTAGCATTCCAACATTTATCCACAAAACACTATCGAGAAAGACAGGAAATACGTTCACTTCTTTGGCTGAGAGCTTTAAATTAGGTTGCTTACCTTTTCGGCAACATTTAAAACATGGAAAATGCATTTAAAAGAATATCTAGGAACAAAGAGGTAATATGCAAATCATTTTATTTTCTGAAGAAGCTTACGAACAAGTGGTCTGTGTGTTTGGGGTGGAGGAGGCGATGGGGTATTTGCCGGGTACCTGTCTGGCCAGAACCGCGCCTGGCGCTCTGGAGCCCCTGAGGTCTTATTCCAAGAGGCCAGCCAGGTCGCAGCGCCCGTACACAGAGTTCCAGACTTTCTCCGGGAGGAGGCGCTGCACGCGCTGCTTGTGCCTCTCCCCGTAGACATTCCGGACGCTGCGCTTACAGATGTCCTCCAGGGAGAAGGGCTTCTGGGACAGCTTGATGAGGGATTCCCGCAGGAGGCCGAACTCGGACAGCATGAGCCCCGCGGGCAGAGTTCCCTGGCTGTTGGTCAGCCGCAGGGGGTAGGAGCGGGAGAGCAGCTTGGCGAGGAGCGCCGTGTCCCTGATGTTGGAGCTGCGCTGGAGGTACATGTGCAGGGGGGACTCCCCGTTCTTGGTGAGCGTGTTGATGTCGGCTTCAAATTCGAGCAGGAGGTCGATGACGGTCTCTCTGCCCGCGAAGCACGCCTCGTGGAGGGCCGTCTGGCCCTTGTGGTCCCGCACGTTGACCTCGGCCCCGCGCGCCAGCAGCAGGCGGATGCAGCCCAGGCCCGCGGCCAGCACGCGGCCCGCCTTGCCGGACGCCGCGCACACCGCCAGCTTCAGCGCCGTGTTCCCCGTGAACGGGACGGCGTAGTTGACGTCGGCCCCGCAGGCGATGAGCGTCTCCATCATCTCCTTGTTGAGGATGTCCGCCGCCATGTGCAGGGGCGTCATGTTGGACTCGTTGATGGCGTTCACCTGGGCGCCGTTCTGGGCCAGGATGGACAGCACCGGGTAGGTGCCGTACCGGATGGCCAGGTGCAGCGCCGAGTGCTTGTGGCTGTTGTTCACCCGCGCGTTCACCTGGGCGCCGTGCTCGCACAGGATGCGGAGGCAGGTCACGGCGTTGTTCTGGATGTCCGCCAGCAGCCGCTGGATCCTGTTCCCCGGCTTGGTCTGCACGGTGGAGGTGATGGGCCAGTGCAGCAGCATCAGGTGGAGCGTGGTGAGGCCTCGCGTGTCCCTGGAAGAGGCAGCGAGCGCCGGTTACACTGAACACACAGTGGAGGTGGCTCTACACGGGTTAGCGCTAAAGAAAGAGACATTTACTTAAAGTGATCCCTGCCCTTATTCAGTTACAAAGAAGTGTTTGGAAATCTGCATTGCTGTTAATTTTTCAGGATCTCACAGCGCTTTGGGGGGTGGGGTGGTTTGCATCAGTGCCCGGGGCCCCGCTTCCCCTGGCAGCTTGTGCTCTGATACTCCTGCCCGGGCGGGGCCTCTGCAGGGCTGAGTCTCAGTTCCTTGCTCTCGCAGCTCCTCAGTGGGGAGCTGAGTTCTGGGGACTTGTGTGTGATTGGCTCTGCATCTGCCCCTGAGCCTCACGCTCCCGCCGTATGTGGGTGCATTAGGTCAGCGGTCGCCAGCCGTTCGGACCTCACAGACCACCCGCGGTCCACGCACCACTGGTTGCTGACCGCTGGAATAGCTGACAGGGTTGAATCTGGAGCCCCACAGCCACTCTGCTTAGTGAGGCCCATCCGTCTCTTTCCCTGCTTCCGGGGGATGCATGACAGGCCTTCGTTTACTTTTCCCTGAACCCTCAGGATTGCCTCCAAACCCCTGTGTTTTGGCAATCCTGAGAGTTCCGGGAAAAGTAGGGGGACGGATTATGAGGAACACATTGCTGAGCGCTTAAGACTCGAGGTGCTTTAAATGGGCTGACTGATTTGTGTTCTTGCATTTCTCCCCACTTTCTCAGAGTATCTCCTCTCATTAGTAAAGAAATTGGTTTGTTCCAAACATGATCCTTTCTAGTCCGCAACTCCTGCAGAGTGGGTGAGCCCAGACATGACTGGGAAAGCGGACCTCGAGGTCACGTGCCTCCTCCTTTAGAAATGGCCGCTGCTGAGCTACTCACCTTACTTCCGGGTCAGCACCGTGCTCTAGCAGACAGTGCAGACTCTGGGCCTTGCGGTGCTCGGCGGCCAGGTGGATGGGGATGATGGACTGCGTCTGCTTCAGCGGGAAAAACCCAAGGCCGTTACAGGCGTCCTGTGTGGTCAGAGGACATGGGCTAGCTGGCCACCCCAGAGCGAACGCGCGGCTCATGTATCTCAGCGCTGTGCTTCCCTGGGACGTGCAGACATTTCCTTCTCTTTGGCCGGTTTGCAGTGACCCAAAGCCAGTGAGCGTTATGACTGTTATAAACTCTGTGTGCTAAAGGCAAAGTTACCAAGCCAACGAAATAACTCACTCCGAGCTTTGGAAGCTGATTGTGGTGAGGAGCTCATGGTGTAAAATCAATGGCAATTGCTGTTAAGCCACTTCACCCTCCAACTAACCTGCAGGGGGTCGACAAGCAGTAGGTTTTGTTTTTTAAGGTTTTGCTACAGCATCAGTAGTAAAACCTACACTCCCAGGGCTCCAGAGAGAAGCAGCAAACGCTCTGTCTGTGATTAGCAGAGATGTTTCTGCCGCTCTTAAAAACATATGTGTAGGTAGTGGCTTTACAGCATGGCTGCGAGATATGAGGGCGGGGTAAAGAAGGGTCACTTTTCAAAAAGGAAATCGATTATAACGGTAGTAATTATTGTGTAATCATTTAGAAAATGCAGAGTTATATGTAAAAGGGAAATGATTCCATCACACGGACCCAGCGACCGTGGTGTGTTTGAGAGGCGATGCTACTGACCCTCCAACCGAAGGCGCTCGCCTTCCCCTCCGCAGGGCGCTACCCGGAGGGCCGTGTCGGCTGCCGGTGGGGACAGCCAGGAGGTTTAATGAGTTGGCAGGACTCGGTGTGGCCCTTGCAGAGCGTCAGGAGTCTGTCCTCGGGAAGGGACGTGGAGAGGGGTACCTGCGTCAGCAGCAGCCCGCAGCTGGTGGAATTGGCCAGGACCGTCAGGGGCTGGTTGACGGGGTGGCCGCGCAGCAGGGCCTGGATGGCCGCGCAGTCCTCTGTCATGATGGCCTCGTAGAGCCGGGCGTGGAGCGCTTCGCGGGGGCCCCCCTCCGGGGACGTGGCCCGGCCCGCAGCCAGCTCCCGGCTGCCTCTCTTGACTATGTTTCCCATGAGAAACGCTTGAGCGTGAGGGCTCAGAGGTCAGGGGAAACTTGCTACGGAATTGGTCAGTCCCCGAGGCCTTGTGATTCCTTCCGGCCAGTTCTAGAACTGTTCTAGAATTGTGGAGAACGGTATCCATGCACACGGCTCATTTTTGTATCAGAGCCAAACTTTCTCAGATTTTGTTCCTCTCTCACATGATGTCACATACAAGCGCAGGTTTTAGGACTTTCTACTTGATCACAAAAACAGACCCAAGTTATCGTCTCACGTAAGATTCTATTTTCTCTTTCCATTTAGCTGTAGATTTAAAAAAAACAAAAACAAAAACTTAAAGCTAAAACACAATTATACATTAAAATAAAAAAAATTAGAATGACTGCATTTAAAATAAGAAAACCCACCTTTTAACCTAAATGTTTAGATTGCGGTGGAATTCTCCCGCCCCCAGTGCAGGTGCAGTGGTTACTGGCACAGGGTTAGTTCCACTGGGGTGTTTCGGGTCCATGGTGGTTGCTTAACAGTGTGACTCAGTCGTCCCCGATCCTGGCTAACAGAATTATGTGGGAGCTTAAAACATTCTCTTAAAGTTTTTTTTCATTAAGAACAACTGCAGTGTTGGACTTGTTGGAGAGGACAGTCCTTTTCGTTTTTATTAAAAAATATATTTTTAGATTGCTTTTTAGAGAGGAAAGAAGAGAGACAGAAACATCGATGAGAGAGAAACGTCATTGATTGGCTGCCTCCTGCATACCCCTCCTGGAGATCAAGCCCGCAACCTGGGCATATGCCCTGACTGGGAATCGAACCGATGACCCCTTGGCTCCTGGGTTGATGCTCAACTGCTGAGCAACACCAGCCACGTGCAGTTTTTTAAAAAAGCTCCCCATTGCCTCTGATGTGTGGCTGAGTTTGAGAACCACTGCTCTGATTTTTAATTCTTGAGGGGCTGCTTGCTCCTGAGTTGAAAACTCCTTAACATCCAGACATTTTTACTACTTGTTTTTAGAGCGCAAAGGAATTCACTTGTTGTGTTTGTTTCTAGCCCAGAAATATTTTTCTTCATGGCCCTGATCAGCAAGTGAAAATCGGGGACTTCGGCCTGGCGTGCACAGACATCATCCAGAACCCACACTGGGCCGGCGGGGATGGGAAGCGTAAGTGTTGGCATTTTATTCTGTTAAAACAGTAAGGTGTCACTATTGAAAGAGAACGATGGAGATTTCATAGCAAAGTGAGGGAAAGACAGCGTGTGATTGTACCAGCGTCACGTTCCTGCACATGCTAACTCCGCAGTATGTAATGTGTAGCTTTTCCCATTACAGGACCGACACACACTTCCAGAGTGGGCACCTGTCTGTACGCGTCTCCCGAGCAGCTGGAAGGATCTGAGTATGATGCCCAGGTAGCGTTTCCTGCTGCTTCCCCTTTGCCGGCCTTCCTGGCAGTGGTGAGAACAAAGCACAGTGAGTGCAGTGGAGGGCTCCGGGAAGGCGTGCTGGGAGAGAAGTTCTGTAGTTTATCCACGCGCCCAGCGGACCGAACGGGGAACTTCACTTTGCAGCTGAGCCTGACTGCGTTTTTTAGGCTTCTTTACGGTTTCTAAGTCCATGGGCATAGCGAATGGCGTCTGAAATGAGCTTCCCCTGCAGTGTCACACGCACCCCGGAAGGTGAAAATTCAGAGGCCGCTTTTCAGCCTTCCATTCTTTACTTTAATATGTTTTACTGATTTTTTACAGAGAGGGAAGGAGAGAGAGAGAGAGCTAGAAACGTCGATGAGAGAGAAAAATTGACCAGCTGCCTCTTGCACACCCCCTACCAGGGATGTGCCCGCAACCAAATGTACATGCCCTTGACTGGAATCGAACCTGGGACCTTTCAGTCCGCAGACCGACGCTCTACCACTGAGCCAAACCAGCTTCGGCTCAGCCTTCCATTCTTGTCTCCAAGCTCAAATAAGTGCTAAACAGCGCTCCGGGCCAGCATGTCCCTTTAACCCACGCTGTTCCCGAAGGAACTCCTTCTCTCACCGTGAAACCTAATACAGGCTGTTCCTCTTAATGAAGTATTGAACTTTTTTTGTTTTGTTTTGCTAATCCTCACCAAAGGATATTTCCCCCATTGATTTTTAGAGAGAGTAGAAGGGAGGGATGGAGAGAGAGAAAAACATGGGCGTGAGAGAGACTAGCTGTTGGTTGCCTCTGGCCCCGCGCCCTCTGCCCCCAGGGCGGGGAGTGAACCTGCAGCTCAGGCACCTGTTAGGAAAGAGCTGCCAGGAAAGAACCACCCTCATTTCAGAAAGCCTGTGGTCAGGGCCTTCCTAAGACACTTACTTTCCAGAGAAGCAGCACCGGGTCTGCGTGTGCTAAGCTCTGTCAGGACCTCCCCTTGGACGGGAAGCAGGTGAGGCTGGCGGAGGCCCCAGCACGACGGAGCTCACATCTGTGTCCGGCTGGCCCAGGGGGTGGGTGGTCAGGTGGATGGTACAGACTGCTGTGGTGATGGGACCACTTGGCCTCCCCTGGCCGTCAGTCCTTTGTCCCATGAGCCCCCTTTTGGTGTTAAAGGGAGGGGCTTTGTGACAGGACTTGCCACCTCGCAGGAGAGCTGGCTGGCAGGTAATTGCCAGGAGAGAGGAGCCGGCCACTAGGTTAGAGCCTGTGAGCCATCCTTCCTGTGAACGCCCTCCTGTCGGAGGGGGCGCTGCTGGCGGAGCTGTGACTCGCCGCGCACTCACACTCGGCGGCCCTCCCCTCTTGCAGTCGGACATGTACAGCCTGGGTGTGATCCTGTTGGAGCTCTTCCAGCCGTTTGGGACAGAAATGGAGCGAGCGCAGGTGCTGACGGGCCTGAGAACCGGCCAGATGCCCGAGTCCCTCCGCCAGAGGTGCCCCGTCCAGGCCCGGTGCGTCCAGGAGCTGACCCGGAAGGACGCAGCCCAGAGGCCGTCGGCCGTGCAGCTGCTGCAGAGCGACCTCTTCCAGAATCCCGGAAGTGTATGTACAGGGTTTGTTAATGCCGGGGCGAATATGGAGCTTAGGACTGGTTTAAATGGAGTCCCGTTTCATGAAGAACAATAGACTTACAGTGAGGTCCATGGGAACAGTGTTTGAGCCCATCCTCCGAGCTGCCAGGTGCACAGTTTGCCCAGTCTCATCTCGCCAAGCCAAAAGGTACTGTTCTCCTGTCCAGCTCCGGTGTGTGACTTTCCTAAATGATCCCAGCATGCCTGCCGGTAAAAGGGACACAGGGGTAAAATGACAGCAGTCATCCGCCAGGGTGAAGGGGCGCCTGAGCCAGCCCGAGATCCTCGGCAGTCACGTGCGAGTCTGGCGCTGTCCCATGCCAGCGTTGTCCTGGGCAGCCCCTCCCTCCCTCCTGCCTGATCCCTGACCCGCAGAGGGCCAGCCTCCTCTGCAACGTGACTCACCCATTCTGCTCCTTGAGGAACTTGCTGAGCGCTGAGCTTGGTTCAAACCCGTTCACAGATCCTAGAGCACGTGGCTCCGCACAGCGTGCTTCTCGGACCTGCAGCAGCAGCAGCAGCAGCAGCAGTGTTACGTGGGCTCATTAGAAACACGGGGTCTCAGTCCGCCCAGAGCTACTGAGGCAGAACCTGCCTTACACAGTGTCCGAGCGGCACTGCGGAGAGCGGTGGTTGTGTTCGACTCCGGACCAGCAGCCTTAGGCCCTGAGGGGACTTCTCAGGCCCGAGGGGGTCCCCCCCACCTCCTTCAGGGGAAGGGGCTGCCATCTGCGTCCACAGGCCCTCCGAGTGATTCTGGTGCCCACTAATTGGGAATCTCTTACAGCCCCTGTTTTGTCGCTTTATCTCCTACTCAAGGCTTATTGATTTTCAAGTAAAACTGAGTCCTACTAGCTCGAGCGATAAACAGGTGGAATGCTCTTCTGCGATTTTGAAAATGGCAATATGGTTATTAAATGCCCGATTTGGGGGGGTGGGGAGGGTTCTAACTTCCACTTAAGGTAGCTTTTAGAGTATTTGTTTATGGTAAAGATTTCTCCTGTCTTATGGAACTTTTTTTTTTCTCTTCTTCAAATAACCTCTACATACCTGCACACATTACATGTCTATGCGGCAGTCCTCATTTTGCACAGTGGAGTATGAGTGTCAGAGTGGCCAGGCAGAGCTCAGACCATGCAGAGGCGTCATAATAATCCAGGGGGAAGTTAGGAATATTCCGTGACTTTAAGAATGTGTAGTCAAAGCATTGAAACTCCCTTATGGAAATGAAAAACCACCACCACCTGTGAAATAAATATTTAGTGCAGTATAGTTGAGAATTCGTGTTTCAAGAGGAGTTTGAGCAATGCCCGCCTCCCTCCCTGTAACTCAGGGCGGCGCGCTGGCCTGCTCCTGGCTGCGCTTGGCTCAGCTCCCAGCACCTGGTCTTGGGCACTTTCAATGTGAAGTGTCTTCTCGAGTTCACAGAAGGTGGGCTTTGCTGGTGTCACTCTCTGGGGCAGTGCCATCACTTCCCTCCACTGGTGCCACATCCCTTTCCTTGGTTCCGTGCTGGCCCACCACCTGTGGCGGAGGGCAGCGTTCCCAGGGCAGCTGTGTCCCCTGAGTGCTTCGGGTTGACCGATTCCCACTCCCAGCGCTACCACTTCTCATTGGCCATGTCCTTGGCCAGTCCCCTCCGTTGTCCATTTTTGAAAACAATGCTACTTGGGTCTCCCTGGGAGAGGGAGGCAGCCTGGCTGCACACAGGCCTGTGTGAGGACTAACAGGTGCGCTGACTGACTCTGAAGGGAAGTGACTGTCTGGATCAGGATGTCCATAGGTTAGTGTTTTGTGGATAAAACTCGTGGTAACTGACATTTGAACCACGTTGCTGGGTTACTGGCCTAATTTCACTAAACTGATGACTGGATCCATGCATTCTTGGACTGTGCAAAGTGAGGCCTGCTTGTGTTTAAAGGGAAAGGAGCCATTTTAATGGAGCTTCAACATTTCTATTTCAGGTTAATCTCACCCTGCAGATGAAGATAGTAGAGCAAGAAAAAGAAATAGAAGAACTAAAGAAGCAGTTACGCCTCCTCTCTCAGAACAAAGGGGTCAAGGATGACATGAAAGGGGTTAAGGATGAAGGTGTTTCTGTGTAAGTTCTTTAGTCTCTAGAAACATAAAAATGAACTTCAACTCTGTGAGCTAAAGCCAACTGGAATATATAGCTTGAGTCTTTCATTGGGTATAGATGGCATTGGTACTTGACTGTTCTAAACTACACTCTTTGTAATCTTTCCCCTCCCACAAGCCCCCTTTCCTGCATTTCTTAGTGTTGGTGTCTACTCTCAGATGAAAAGTTTAGACATCATCAGTTTTGTTTTTTTTGAACGCTGCCTGTCCTCCTCTAGAAGCTTCTGCAGAAATCGGTGTGCTCTGCACCCAACCACCACCCAGATCCAGCCTGTGCATGATCTGGGCTGGTGGTTTTGACAGCTGCCATTTTATTTTTACCCTCTCACACGCTGCCAGCTAACTACCAGGACATCCCAGCTCACACCAGGCTCAGCCTTTGCTGCCCCCAGGAGAAAACTTGGCAGTGTATGTCGCCCGGCCTATTTCTGTTCTCATCACCTTCCGCGTGGCACCACCATGCCCTTTCAGAGCTCTGTACTTCGTGCCCGAAATGATCTCAAAGCAGCTCGGACGCCAGTGTTTCTGATTCTGCCTGCCTTGTTCTTCTCAGCACCTGACTCCCGCATTCCTCCAAGTGACCTGCTCCTCTCTGCACGGAGATGCCTGCGCCTGGCGGCAGTGGCGTGTTGTGTGTGACACCGCTGCATGTTAAACAGACAGACCCACAGTTACAGGCTGCTTTTATTGGCACTCCGCAGTGGCCTACAGACCCCTTTACCAACACCACCATTCTAAAACCGAATCCCTTCACAATCACTTCCTGAGTCACTTCAGGAGCTGGAGGGCAGCGCTGAAAGGGGCCAGGTTCTCGCAGGCCCGCATCCACTTCTGCACGTTGGGCGGCACGGGCACACTGCCGCCCCCGGCCCCCGCCCGCCACAGCACAGACCACAGCACCACGTCCGCCACGGTGAGCTCGTTCCCCACCAGCCAGGGGCTCTTCCCGAGAGCGGAGTTAATGGCGCCGAGCACAGCGGCTCGCTCTCTGCTGCTGCCTTCTTTGAACTGAAAAATGGCTATATCCACCCAGCTGTCGATGAGGGTTGAATTCACCGCGTTATGCTTCTGGCCGAACAGAGAGAACAAGAAACGTGCAATGTTCCCTTCTCCTTCGATGGGGCACATCCTCTGGACACTGAACTTCATCTGAGTCTTGGGCACTGAAAGGAAAACACCGCGCTGTCAGGGGCACAGCACCGGAGAAGTGCTCGTACACACAGAGCGGGGAGCCACTCCCCCTGCACTGGTGGCAAGGAAAGGTACTTTCAAGGGAAAAATCACATTTTTAGGTGTGATGTTTGAACTATGTTTGAGTTATGTTTAAAGAGTGCAGCCCTAACCAGTTTGGCTCAGTGGGTAGAGCATCGGTCTATGGACTCAAGGGTCCTGGATTCAATTCCGGTCAAAGGCATGTACCTTGGTTATGGGCACATCCCCAGTAGGGGGTTTGCAGGAGGCAGCTAATCGACATTTCCCTCTCATCGATGTTTTTAACTCTCTATCCCTCTCTGTAAAAAAAAAATAAAAATAAAAATAAAATAAAATAAAATAAAATAAAAAATATTAAAACATAAAAATAGCGAGTGCAGACTATACGTTAGGAAATTGATCCGGACAGATTTCAAGCTAGAAGGAATCTAGACCATCTACTCCAATGTGTCTGGATCTGCAGGATGGGGACGAAACCAGGAGTCCCCTCGCCCAGGTGAGACTTAAGGCATCCCTGGCGAATGGCATTGCCTCCCTTCCCTCTGTATAAAGGTCACAGGGATAGTGAGTAAATGATCCCCTGCCATCCTGCATGGCCAGCTGGAAAGACATCAGTGTCCCTGGAAGGATAGGCCTGGAATGTGAGGGCAAGACGGCCATGACAGCTGCTGTTCCCCTACCCAGGCTGGGCAGACAAGATCACTGGAGGCCCAGTGCATGAAATTCGTGCACCAGTAGGCCTGCCTTCCTCCGGCCACCGCCAGGCACCTGGGACCCAGGCTTCCCTCTCAGCCCCGGCTTCATCCAGAAGGACACTGGTCTAGCTAGCATATTATGCTTTTCTTATAGATTATCATAAATGAGGTACATTTCACGACATAGGTAGGCGTTGAAGCCAGTCCCCTCTACTTACCATTCTTCCAAATGAGAGTAAAGCCCAGCTGGTATTCATGACGGGGCTGGCTTTTGGTCTGCTCGCCAAAGCACCTGAGGAGGTGTTCTGGCACGTTCTTGACTGCTGAATGCGTGTGCACAGTGGACAGGACCTTGTACTGGTTGCAGAGCAGCTGGTGCAGCACCAGCAGGGAGAGGGGCGGCGAGGCAGGGTTTGCATTGATCACGATGTCTTTGAGGGCCCCGTAATCCTGGGGAGAAAACCCACACAGCAGTCTGAGTGCTCGTACCAGGTGCTGTTCTTACACCTAATGCCCACGAAGGAGGTGCTACCATTGTCCTACCTCACCACTGATGAGGAGTCCTGGGAGAGAGGTGACTTACCCACTCAGCCCAGGGAAGGGGAGCTGGGCTATGAGCTGATGCCAATCCCTAGCCCCCGCACTGCTGGCTCCTGACAAAAAGTTGACTTTTACTGTCAAATTAGTAAAACAAGTTAGGAATGAACTTCCATTTGTCCTTAAAAAAAAAAAAAAAAAAAAAAATCACATGCAATTACAATCGGCCTTTCATATCTATGGGTTTCATACCTGCAGATTCAACCAAAGGGAGAATGAAAACTATTTCTTTTGTTGTTAATCCTTTCCTGAGGATATTTCCCCATTGGTTTTAGGGAGGGAATGAAGTGGGGAAGAGGGGAGACTAACATCGATGTGGGTCCTGACCAGGATTGGGGGTCAAACGTGCCCTTGTCTGGCAATCACATTCTCAACTTTTTGGTGCGTGGGCTAGCGCACTTAACTATTGATCCACACCGGCCAGGGCAGAAAAACTTTTGATCCACGATCTGCAGATTAAATGCACTGTACTGTCATGTCATGGAAGGGACCTGAGCATATACGATTTAGGATCTCAGGGGGATCCTGGAACCAGCCCCCCACGGATATGGAGGTATGACTACATTCTGTTTATCAAATCTTCCTAACACCTGACCACCTAACAGCATCTCGTTTCCATCTCTGTGTCACGTTGTGTTTGGCTGTGCTGTAGAGTCTCTTGGGAGCCAATCTGGCCTCTGGTCTTGCACTCCTGATCGAGCCCTTCACGTGGGCTCTGACGACTGCTTCGCAGCTGTCTGAACACTGCCTTCTGGGGTGGCCATATTCAGCTCAAGCAGCACATGCTCTGGGAGCCTTCCCCGTGTCTGAGCCCGCCAGCATCACTGGGCCTCTGCACACAAACTATAATGCAGGAAGTGCTGCAAAATACACTTGCAATCTGGCACTGTGACTGGCTCTTGGTGAGATGAGTGGGGTTTCTGTGCAGCCAGAGCCCAGGGGTTGACTGAGGGAGCGATTTAGGTCTGTTTCTCCAGCGCTCAGGCTGCTCAATGCTGCCGGAAGTGGGGAGATGCCGTGCCGGACGCCCCTCTCTCCAGCAGTGGGTCTGAGGCCAGCAGCAGCTTTAGAATGTGCTCTGGCTTCACTAGAGCTCATGCACCTACTCCGTGCACGGCACAATCACACGGGGGAGAAAAGAACGGCTCTGTCCACCTCTGGAAACCAGCACTCACACCCAGCACGCTGCCGCTCTGGTTTTAAGTGAGCTCACCTTCCCGAGGACTGAATTTAAGTCCAACGCATTGGCTGACAGGGCGGTGGGCTCCTGGGCTCGGATTATGTTGGTCACGTCCAAGTCCGCATCTGGCGTCTGAATCATCTTGGAGAGCCCATCCACAGCGGCTTTCAACTCGTACAGACGTTTTAAAATGTTATCTTGCCGGGACTCCAGAGCCTGAAGAGATGGGTCAGACCCGCCCTAAGCAAATCAACACCAGAATGTCATTTCCTCCATCACAGCAGTCTTAATTTGATCACTTGTCTTCTACTTAGTTCCACAAATTCATCAAACCGCCCAGGGTTTAAAAAAACAATAAAACAAACTAGCATTATCTCATTTCTTCCATTGTCTGCTAGGTCCTGCAAGTAGATCCACAAATGCTTTAAAATAAAGAACATGACTGAAAGCCCCTTTGTATGACTAATTTCAGGTAATTTAGTCTAAGAAGAGAGGATAGAAAACAAATACTAATTGTTCTTTATTCATATCAAAACACTTTGCTTAAACAAATAGAAAAAGGGGGGACAGTGAAAATGTAACTCAATTAATACAAATAGAAGGGAAAAGGGTACACACATAGGTTAAAAAAAATAAATCTGTCTGAAGTCAGATGGTCAACTCCCCAAATGATTCACTCTCAGGGCATACAGGCACTCTCAACTGCAGCGTCGACGAGAACTTTTCACTGCCGGCACGTATAAATATGGACACTTAAACGTTCTCCACTCACCGAACCTTTGCATCTTTCTTGCCTGGTATAGTGACTGGTATACAGTAAGTTACCCATCATATTTATGATAAATCTCAAGTCAATCTAGATTGAACTTTACAAAGTAATATCAAGAAACCTCCCAGTACAGTCACATTGCACTATCTCCAGATTCCTGAGCTCTCACAGTAGACCGTCCACTTTGTGTTGAGAAAATAAAACATGAGCTAAATGCTCATAATGAGAGAGAAGTCAGGAACATGGCACTGACCCTGAGTTATTAGAAAGATGCATTCATGATACAATTCAGGTGTACTTGCTCACATCTGAGTGCTGCTAAATTTAATTCTTGGGAACATCTGTTAGTCACTCGGAACACTGCCCTCTCATGCGGATGGATTCTGCCTGTTCCACTGTCTCTGCCCAAGTCCAAGACACCATTTTTTTCATCTGGTCTACTTCCATTGGTCACCTCACATCCATCCATAAGATGGCCACTGGAGTGATGAGAACAAGGCAGATCCTGTCACCTCCTCCCCCGTGCTAACCCCCTAAGCTAAAAAGCAAAGCCCTCACCCTGGCTTGCTGAATAGTTTGTATGATTTGTCCTCTGGCTGCCTCCTTTCACATAATTCTCCCCTGCTCTGTCTCTAGCCGGACAGTCCACGGGATTCCTAAAACACACCAGCCTCCAGTGGCCTCTGGACTTTCCTCACCCTGGTCCCTCGGTCTGATACATTCCTCTCTTGCTTGATGTTCTTGTTTAAGATCAAACAGCAAAAAATATAAGGCGGAACAAAGAACAATAAACAGTTCCATATGCCACTTCGATAATAAGGAACTGTAAATAGACTGAACGGTGGAACAACCGGTCCCTATGACATGTGCTGACTACCAGGGCACGCATGCGAGCAGAACACGGCGGGCATTGGCCGTGGTGGGATAGTGGAGCAGGTGAATGGGGGTGCCAGACCAAGGTGGGGCACCGGTAGCCTTCATTGGGGGGAGCCTCTGGTGGCTAATGAAAATTCTTTGCTCCTGCACCCCAGTCCCATGGGGAACTTGCACCCGCTGTCGATGCCTGGTGCTGGCTTCAATCACTCGAAGCCGTCAGCAAGTGTGAGCAGTGGCTTTTGGCCCTGATCGCCCCTGAGGTGTTCTCCACCTCCCCCTGCTCCTGAGAGGCGATTGGGGCCAGCAGCTGCCTCTCGCACCTGCTGCTGGAGCCAGGCACAATTGCTCAGCGCCTGTCAGTGCGTGGGAGCGGCAGTGGAGGAGCAGGGCTGCCGGCACACAGGGCAGGGGGCTGCGCCAGGAGGGGCTGGGCAGGGGCGAGGAGGATGGGCTGAGACCTACCCCCACTCACCTGCTCCACTATCCCCCACGGCCAATGCCCACCGTGTTCCGCTTGCATGCGCACTTTGGTAGTCAGCATATGTCATAGGGACTGGTTGTTCCACCACAGCCTCACAGCCAACAACAGTTCCTTTCAAGGTGCATGAATATTAATAGTATTAATAATAAAAGGGCCCCAGCATAGCTGGATCTCACCCCTTGATCTGAGGCATAAGGAAATGCTCACATCTGCTTATCATCCCTTTTAATGTTGGGCTGTTGTTTTTCTTGCTCAGACCAGACTATGCCTTGGCCTATGCGTTTACCCACTTGGTTTATACGTATTTGGAAGCAGTTTATTCTTCCAGTTGCTCTCCGAATGCTGGGTTTCTAATTATCTGATTACCACACGGCCATCATCTATTAAAGAAAGGGGACTCCTAAAGTCATAAGCTTTGGGGAGGATGCCAGCACCAGGAAATTTATACGTGGCTGTTGAGAGCCTACATCAGTGCAACCACTCTGCAAAGCAATTTACAGTACCTAGTACTTACCCTTGAAGGCAGACCTGACTTCTGGGTCAGCAATTCCATGCCTAGTAAAATACCCTATGCCTGCTCCTGTACAAAAACATTCACTGCAAAATGAAGCCGCTTACAGAGGGCCCGACATCCGTGAGCAGTGGGATGGGGCAAACCATGGGGGTAGCAGTGAACGCGCTGGGACAGCAGACCCGCAGAGGACGAAGACTTCATTTCACGTAACAAAGTGAGTCCTGAAATCATGTCTAGAAGCAGCAGCCGGACACAAGCCACCAAACAGCATGCTTCCGTTCACGTGGCTTAGGGATGCATCCTTAGGCGGCGCAGCAGGAGAGAGAAGCAGGACGTGATCACGGAAGTCGGGCCCTTTCGCTTGGGGGCAATTTAAGACTAGGCACTGACAACGTGTGTTAACCTGGGCACTAGTTATTCTTAAAATGGCCATTTACGTGCTACTCACTTTTCTGTGAGTAAAGTTTAAGCAGCTGCAAGCGAAAAAGAGAAAATTGATACACGACGCGGGCCTGGAGGGACCCCGGGCCCTACTCGCGTATCTCAGCTGGCTAGGCCACGGCGCCTGCGCAGTGAGCGGTCCGGAGGCCTTGGCGCCTGCGCACTACTGAACGGGGGGGATGGGGGGGCGCCTACCTGCACGTGGCTCGCATTCTGCGCCGGGCAGCCGGTCCCGCGGTGCACGTTGGGGAGCCGGTACATGCAGGTGGGGAGCTCTACGCTGAGAGATGAGCCGCCCTCGTGATAGGGCTTTACCCGGTACATCGGCATCGTGGGAAGCACAGGAGGGACGGCGGCGGGTGGGGGACACGGCTGCCCAGGAGCCGTCAGAGACTAGCACGTACCGCGGCCACCTCCCTTCTGCTCCGCAGTCGGGCCTTCAAAGGAAACTCACAGTTCGTGTGCTCTGATTGGCTCGGGCTCTCTGACGTCACGACCCGATTTTTTTTATACCACCAATCAGCGAGAAGGAGATGCGAGCACCTGTTTCCGCCTCCACCCGGAAGGGGTGGGGCACAGTTTCAGAAGCAGCCAATGGGCGGCTCGGGGGAGAGGCACCCGTGGGAGCGGCGGGAGGAACTGTCGCGAGTCGGACAGCGCGTCAGGCTCCGCAGCCATGGAACGCGCGGGGCTGAGGTGAGCGGCGCTTGCTGCCTCGCTCGCCGTCGCCTTTTGGAAGGCGCACGGCGTTCCCGCAGAGGAGGGAGACGGGACCAGGGCGTTTGGGGGCCCTGCAGGCTAGCAGGCCCGAGAGGGCTCCTCAGCGCTCCGCCGACCGCCGTCCCCTCGGGAGCTCGGGGCGGCGGGGGCGGCGGGAGAGCGGCCGGCGCCCAGGCAGGCTGAGCCCAGACGCCGCCTCACGTCCGTGGACCTGAAGTCCGGCCTGAGGGCCCGGTGTACTGAAGGTCTCTCTCTTTTTGGGGGGAAATAATTGAAGTTATTTGGAGGCGGCTCTAGGGATATGCTCTTTTGCATGGCCGCCGTTTAAAAAATGCAGAACCTCTGTCGGGATCACTGGCTGGCGAGCTGCGCTGAATTCGGGCTGGCGAGTCTTCGGCGCCTTCTCTGCATTCGATGCCAGAATCCTGAACCCAAGTTCGCCGCCCCTCAAAGTGAATGCCGGAAATGGACCCGAGGCCTAGGGCTCCTGGGCTCCCCGACACCCGCTATCGCCCCGTTTGCTTCACGAACATACGGAACGCGGTCTTGGGTTGAGCAGGGTTTTGCCGGGCGGGAGAAGGGGAGGGGAGGGGGTCGTCTAGACCCATGGTCGGCAAACTGCGGCTCGCGAGCCACATGCGGCTCTTGGGCCCCTTGAGTGTGGCTCTTCCACAAAACACCACGGCCTGGGCGAGTCTATGTTGAGAAGTGTTGTTAGAAGAAGTTTAAGTTTAAAAAATGTGGCTCTCCAAAGAAATGTCAATCGTGCTGTTGATATTTGGCTCCGTGGACGAATGAGTTTGCCGACCACTGGATCTAGACGACTCCCTAGCCGCTAGACCCAAAGCTAATAGACCAGGAGCAGCGAGCACCATGTAGGGGACATGTCAAAGGGAGGACGGAAAGAAGGAGCAAGTGAAGGAGACCGGGTTCAGTTATGATTCTATTAACCTTCATACAGCAGACAGAGGGGGGCCCTGCTACGTGTTTTTCAGCAGAAAAATGACTTGACCCGCCTGGTGCTTTCTAAAGCAGCTGTGGGGGTAGCATGGAGGATGGGTTGGAGTAGGGAAGAAGTAGAGAATTGGGTTGGGAAATTCTTCAAGCAGGTGCAGCCCTAGCTAGTTTGGCTCAGTGGATGGAATGTCAGCCTGCATTCCGAAGGGTCCTAGGTTCGATTCCCGTTCTCTAGGGCATGTACCTCGGTTGCAGGCTCTCCGGCATGCAGGAGGCAACCGATCGATGTGCCTCTCACTTTGATGTTTCCCTGTTGCTCTCTTCTTCTCCATAACACTCTCTCGAAAAATCAATGGAAAAATATCCTCCGGTGAGGATTAAAAAAAAATAAAATAAAACAGGGAGACCCAGAACTTTGAGGGCCTTTAAGGCAGCAGCTGGCAACCTGGACTCGGAGGAGGGGTTCAAAGGCAGCCCTGGGAACAGTTTTACAGCCGGCACCCAGGCTCCAGGAGGCTTTGGTTTGGACATAAGCACTGTGTATTTCCCATCATTCTCTTGGTTTTGCAAATTGTGTGAGAAGTGTTGCTTTCTCAAGAAAGAAGATCCCATCCTTGCAAGAAACTATTGACCCATAGGTTGAGGGGCACGTGTGTCTCTTCCATGTAGATCCCAGGATCATTAGATTTTTATTTTTTTATTTATTTTTATAAAATATATATTTTATTGATTTTGTACAGAGAGGAAGGGAGAGAGATAGAGAGTTAGAAACATCGATGAGGGTCATCGACCAGTCGCCTCTTGCACACCCCCTACTGGGGATATGCCCGCAACCAAGGTACATGCCCTTAACCGGAATCGAACCCGGGTCCTCCAGTCCCCAAGCCGATGCTCTATCCATTGAGCCAAACCGGTTTCGGCAATGCAGATTTTTAAGTATCTATTGCATTCGTAGTATCTACTCAGAAGATTTTTTGACAAATATTTAAGAATTGTAGAAAAAATTTTTTTAAATATATTTTATTGGTTTTTCACAGAGAGGAAGAGAGAGGGATACAGAGTTAGAAACATCAATGAGAGAGAATCATCGATCAGCTGCCTCTTGCACGCCCCCTACTGGGGATGTGCCCGCAACCAAGATACATGCCCTTGACCGGAATCGAACTTGGGACCCTTGAGTCTGCAGGCCAACGCTCTATCCACTGAGCCAAACGGGATAGGTCTAGAACAATATTTAATATTTATGAATGTAATAAATGCATATGTTTGTAAAACAAATGAACACGTTAGCCCCGTTAACTATTAACAGAGAGGAATCACTTCCCACCCTTGAAACCGGGATGAAAAAGACATAAATGCATACTTGCCTTGTTTCTTGTAACTGGTTTCTTTAGTACAGAACGTGCTAAGGTCATCAAACCTATTGACCGGAGGTCGGTCCATCAGATTTGTTCTGGGCAAGTGGTCCTGAGTCTAAGTTCTGCTGTGAAGGAATTGGTAGAAAATAGTGTGGATGCTGGTGCCACTAATATTGGTAAGTTTGGGAGACTTAAGCCAAAAGAAATAGCCAGTTTATGCTGTTTTATTCATGTAACATTTGTTACTGACATAAGACACTCAATTATATTCTTTAGTTTATAAAGTAAATTACTATGTGCTAGGTAGTAATAATAAAAGCAGTTAACTTTTATTGTGTTGTTTTTGATATGTGCTAGACAGACATTGTGTTAAAAACTATGCGTGAGATATGTTATTTAATCTGCAGAATAATGTTACAAGATAGGAATTATCACGGTTGTAACTATTATCTTTTTAAAAATATATATTTTATTGATTTTTTTTTTTTTACAGAGAGGAAGGGAGAAGGATAGAGAGTTAGAAACATCGATGAGAGAGAAACATTGATCAGCTGCCTCCTGCACACCCCCTACTGAGGATGTGCTCACAACCAAGGTACATGCCCTTTATCGGAATCGAACCTGGGACCCTTGAGTCTGCAGGCCAATGCTCTATCCACTGAGCCAAATGGGTTAGGGCTGTAACTATTACCTTTATTGTACAGAGGAGGAAGTTAAGGCACAAGGAATTTACTTGTTGTTTGTTGTTGTTTTTTGAGGTTATAAAGCTGGGGTCAAAATATGATCCCAGGAAGTCTGATTCCAAAGCTGGTTTTCTTTCTTTCTTTCTTTCTTTCTTTTTTTTTTTTTTTTTTTTTTTAAATATTGATTTTAGAGAGGAAGGGAGAGGGAGAGAGAGATAGAAACATCAATGATGAGAGAGAATCATTGATCGGCTGCCTTTTGTAAGTCCCACATTGGGGATCGAGCCTGCAACCCAAGCATGTGCCTTTGACTGGAATCGATCCCAGGACCTCTCAGTCTGCAGGCCCATGCTCTATCCACTGAGTCAAACCAGATAGGGCCAAAGCCTATTTTCTTTAATGAGTATGTTAAAATTATTCTTTTTAAAGAGAGAGAGAAAAGAACACCTATTTTATTAGTATTAGTAAATAGCAAAGAACTTGAAAAAGTAAAATTGCATAGTATATTTAAATAAGTGCAATTATGACTCAAATTTGCCTATGTATGTTACAAATACTATCAATATAAGGCTTTTACATGGATCAATTCTTTGAAAAATAAATATTTTATTCTTAGATCTAAGGCTTAAAGACTATGGGGTGGATCTCATTGAAGTTTCAGACAATGGATGTGGGGTAGAAGAAGAAAACTTTGAAGGCTTAAGTAAGTTGAATTTTCCTAACCCTATTTTAAAATATGTGGGCAAATATTTCAAAATTTTGAGTAAACACTAAAACAGTTTTTCAAAGCCAGATACTTTGGTGGGCGTTGTGTATGTTCATTGCTATACCCCTTCAGATATCCTGAGCCACCCTGTGCACCTCTCTTCCAGCTCTGAAACATCACACTTCTAAGATTCAAGAGTTTGCTGACCTAACTCAAGTTGAAACTTTCGGCTTTCGGGGGGAAGCTCTGAGCTCACTTTGTGCACTGAGGTGATGCAATATTTTTATTACTAACTTGACTCTTTGTAAAAAATCTTTCTGAAAAAGAAGTAATTCCTACCATTTGCAACAACATGGATGGAACTGAAGAGCATTATGCTAAGTGAAATAAGCCAGTCAGGGAAAGATAAATATCACAATATCTCACTCATTTATGGAATGTAATGAACAACATAAACTGATGAACAAAAACAATTCCAGAGACAGAGAAACATCGATCAGACCATCAAACCTCAGAGGGCAGGTAGGGGAGGGTTGGGGTAAGGGGCAGAAATCAAAGGCCTTGTATGCATGCATATAAGCCTAACCAATGGATACAGACAACAGGGCGGTAAGGGTACGAGTAGGGGGAATGGGGAGGTAATGGAGGGATAAAAAAAATAAAAATTAATAACAACCTTTCTGAAAATTAAAAAGCATAATTAGAATCATTATTATTTACACCTCTTCGTCTGAGTGTCTCAACTTTTCACTTCTGCATTCTATTTTTCTTACTATCAATCTGAGTGATAATGCCTCTGAAATGTAAGCAATGAATGAATGAAATGAAGCAAATAGTACTGTAAAAAAATGGTTACCCTTAGTCAAGCAGTGACTTCTCAATTTGTAAAAAAAAAAAAAAAAAAAATTTTAATTGATTTCAGAGAGAAAAGGAAAGGGAGAGAGAGGTAGAAACATCAATAAGAAAATCGTTGATTGGCTGCCTCTTGCATGTCCCTTATTGGGGATTGAGTCCGCAACCCAAGTATGTTCCCTTGAGCAGAATCAAACCCAGGACCCCTCTGTCCACAGGCCAACGCTCTAGCCACTGAGCCAAACCAGCTAGGGCTAACTTCTCAATTTTAAAATAACAGAGATAATAAATTATGGATGCTATTGGTTTTAATTTCAATTTTTGAACTATAATATTTTTTGGATCCTTTTAAAATTTTTGTTAGATCACTAGTAACAAATCAGAAAGATTTTTATTTGTGAATATATAGATTCTGAGATCTTTTAACGCTTTTGCAGTTTAACAAAAAAAAAATGTCAAGTTCTTATTAAAGCATTTGCAGCTGGCTGGTGTGTTTAGTGGTTTAGTGTCGACCTATGAACCAGGAGGTCATGGTTTGATTATGGTCAGGACTCATGACTGGGTTGCAGGCTCAATCCCCAGTAGGGGATATGTAGCAGGCAGCTGACCAATAATTCCTTCATCACAGTTTCTATCTCTTTTTCGCTCTCTCTTTTTCTCTTTGAAATCAATAAAAACATATTTTTACCAAAAATCAATAAAAAGCATTTTCATAACTGTCATACCTTAGATTTTATGATGATTCCTCACCCATTTGAACTCTCTTGATTATAGCAGAGGATTCATCATCTCTTAGAGTCCTGAGAGAAGAGAAGTGAGAAAGTTAGTGTGTGATGTCCTGATGTCCAACACCAGGGAGTCTCTGACTGACCAGGCCTCACCTGGCATTCTCTTCCAGTGACGTCACCATTTCCACCTGCCACTCATCTGCGAAGGTTGGGACTCGACTAGTGTTTGATCACAATGGGAAAATTACCCAGAAATCCCCATATCCACGGCCCAGAGGGACGACAGTCAGTGTCCAGCAGCTGTTTTACACACTGCCTGTGCGCCATAAGGAGTTTCAAAGGAATATTAAAAAGGTGCGGTCAGTTCGGGACCCCAGAAGCATTGAGACTGTTAGGAACACCCACAGCAGAATCTGCTACAATACTTCATTCTACTTGTTCTCTTACTGAGTTGTATGCCTGTGCTTTTTAAACAGGAATTTGCCAAGATGGTCCATGTCCTCCATGCGTACTGTATCATTTCCTCGGGCATCCGAATAAGTTGCACCAATCAGGTGGGACAAGGAAAACGACAGCCTGTGGTGGGCACAAGCGGAAGCGCCAGCATAAGGGACAATATTGGATCTGTGTTTGGGCAGAAACAGGTATATCTTACTGCTCTAGCGATTAAGGCAGGTTTCGATTATCCTTTACGACAGAATGGAGAATAAAATCCGAGAACTGATATTAATGTTAAATTCTGAGAGTTTTTATTTCACTCTTGTGGAGAATAAAATTAATACTTTTACTCTCTGTCTAAACATACAGCAAGTATTATGGGCAGTATGTTGATTATGTATAAGCAGGAGCTAAGTTTCATCTTTCTAGAGAAAAATGAAAATTCAGTGCAGAAAGCAGCTGACGAAATTCTTCTTGCTCTGACTGTGGCTAGCTGGCTGGGAAGGGAAGCACCAGGACCCAACTGTCTTCTTTCTGCAGTCAGGCCCCTCTGTCTGCCCGGAAATCACTGAGGCCCGCTTTCTTGCAGTTGCAGAGCCTCATTCCTTTCGCTCAGCTGCCCCCTAGTGACGGCGTCTGCGAAGAGTTCGGGCTCAGCTGCTCGGATTCTCTGCAAAATCAGTTTCGGTGAGTGGCTTGCCTCCAGGAAAATGACAATTATTTTTTTCTTTTTAAAGATAGTGCTTTTAAGGCTGTTAGTCTCTTTTGTCCATTATAAACCTGTAAGCAGTATTACTGCTGAGAAAGAGATGTAGATGAAGGAATCAGTTATTTAATTCTGGGTATTAACAATATTCTGGGTAACTGGTGTGTTTTAAGGGTTTCCTCTTGAATTAGTCTTTGTAGCAAAGTGAACAATTAGAAAAGTTAAAAAAAATTTGTGTATGATGTTGTACTTTCTTGGGATCTAGCACAGAGCAGTGGAGGCTGTGTTTCCTTTAATCATGTATTACCCAACGTCCAGTCCAGCATCATTACTTTCAATGTAAGAACAACAGACATGTTCCATAGGCCCGACTGGCCTGTGGGGCCTCCACTGCCTTTGGCCTTTGCCTGGAATTAAAGACGGGATTAATTTACGTGAAGGCATCACTCTTACGGAAATGCAAGTATTCCTGAGGTTGATCTCAGGTGGAATAAGCACCTTACCAGCACCTCAGGAGATACGTGGTTGCTAACAGAGCAGGTTTAAAAGGCCAGGCAATGTGGCGGAGATCCTGGTGACAGATAGTTGGATTCCCTGGGTAGTGGGTGGAGACCGCACGAAGGTTCTGGAATGTGGGTTTGCAGTGAGGCCCACTCCCTGTGTGGAGGCCCGGGATCTACTAGGGAAGGTGAGAGGAGAGCTGGAGCAAATTGTTTTGAACCCGTGGCATTGCCTGTGGTGGATTTGCTCTCCCAGAGCCTTTGAGCCTTCCAGAAGGTCCCTGTCCTTCTAACCCACTGGAATGGAACACAGGTGCACAGTAACTGAAATGTTAGCACTTTGTTGCAGGCACCAGGTGTCATGTTTTTAATTCTTTTCTACTTTAAGAATGTGCCATATCCTACGTGTTTCTAATCCTTTTCACTCTGGACTCCTGCCCTTGTTCACACTGAACAGTATCTCGGGTTTCATCTCCCACTGTACTCATGGTGTTGGACGGAGTTCAACGGACAGACAATTCTTTTTTGTCAATTGGCGGCCGTGTGACCCAGCAAAGGTATAATTTTTTTTTTTTTGTGCAAGTTTTTTTTAACTCATACAAAAACATTTCTATGTCCATTTGAATGTGTTTTATGAGTAAACCACACCTGCAGTGTTTGGCACTTTTTTCAAGAGCATCTTTAGATCGGAAAAAGATTCAGTCTTAGGGGTCTGTGATGGAGGGGCACAAGGAATCTTTTTTTGGGGTGATGGATGTATTCATTGTCTTGGTGGTGTACTTTAAATACGTGTAACTTACTGCAGGCCAGTTATACCTCACGAAAGCTATTAAAAATGTATCCTTTTCGTGGTGGGTTAGCATAGCATGTTGTTATTACCCAGGGGAAAGGGAACACTTACTTTTCTCTAATCTTTGCTTTGTTTGTAGGTTTCCAGACTTGTGAACGAGGTTTATCACATGTATAACCGACATCAGTACCCATTTGTTGTTCTTAATATTGCTGTTGATTCAGGTAAGTTCCACTGACATTTCAGTAAAATCGGTGACTTACTCTTAAAATAATACAATGAAAGTATAAAGCTCTGATATGATTGGAAACAGACTTTTATAGCAAGAATTAATGGCCTGTATTTTTTTAAAATATATTTTTATAGATTTCAGAGAGGAAAGGAGAGGGAGAGAGAGTTAGAAACATCAATGATGAGAGAGAATTGGAGATGGGAGTGGAGCCTGCAACCCAGGCATATGCCCTTGACCAGAATCAAACCTGGGACCCTTCACTCACAGGCGGATGCTCTATCCACTGAGCCAAATAGGGTAGGGCCATTTAAAAAAAATTTTTTTTTAAAGGCTTTCAATTTTATTTCACAGACTTTTATTTGTTACATTCTTAATACAGATTTTTCTGCTTTCTGCTTGAAACTATGTTAATTGTATTTTTAGAAAAATGTGCCTTTTTCATGTTAACCAAGGGAGAATGTTCTCCCTGATTAGAAAATTATTTCATATTTTTCTTACGATTTTTAAAATTCTGGTTTATTGCTATCCAGTATTTTTTCTAAGTACTTAGAAAATACATATGTGCACACCTTAAAAAGTTGTAAGGACCTCTATATCCATATACTTTGAGGTGAGAAAAGAATTTTTGGGAAATTTTGTATAGTACACTTTGTCCTTAGATATAAACATTTTCTTCACTATGTCATTAAAAATTAATTATTCAGAAACATTTTAATAGCTACATTTATTATATTCCAGTGGATGGGTATATGTTTATTTTAAACTTTTTTGTTCAGGTTTTGGAAATTTAAATGCTGTCCTTATAATTAAATCATTATCTATATATTTGATACTCCCTTCAGATAAATTCCTAGAATTAGAATGAATACACCAGTGGAAATGATTGTGGTGTGCCAATTTACACACCTACCAACAATGTAGTAGGTATACTTTTTAACCAAATTCTGTAGGTGATAAAGTGACGTCCTCCTTTAGATTGCAGTTTTATTATACACTGGAGGCCTGGTGCATGAAATCCATGCACTCGGGGAGGGGAGGAGGATCCCTTGGCCAGGCCTGCATTCTCTCACAGTCAGGGAGCCTTTGGGGGATGTCCTACTGATGGCTTAGGCCCGCCCCCCTGAGGGCTCCCAGAGGCTGGGCTCACAGCTGGCGAGCACAGTGGCAGTGATGGGGAGTGGGCCTAAGCTGTCAGTCAGATATCCGGAGCACTGCTGTGGAGGCAGGAGAAGCTCCCACTGCCACCACTGCACACGCCAGCCATGAGCCTGGCTTCTGGCTGAGCAGCGCTCCCTGGTTGCTCCGCCGATGGGCTGAAACCGCTCTCCAACATCCCTCAGGGGGTCCCAGATTGTGAGGGGCGCAGGCCAGGCGTAGGGACCCCCACCGGTGCACAACTGGGGCTGGAGAGGGATGTGGGAGGTTGGCCAGCTGGGGAGAGAATACGGGAGGGCTCCTGGGTGTGTCTGGCCCATTTTGCTCAGTCCCAATTGGCTGGACCCCAGCAGCAAGCTAACCTATTGGTTGGAGCGTCTGCCCCCTAGTGGTCAGTACACATCATAGAGAGCAGTTGAATGGCTTTAGCATATCATTAGCATATCATGCTTTGATTGGTTGAATGGCTGACTGGATGCTTAGCATATTAGGCTTTTATTATATAAGATTTTCATGTGCTTATTCTTTTTTTTCTGCAATTTACTTATTTAAATCTTTGCATATTTTTTCTATTTACAAAATTGATCATCTTTTCCTTGTTTATTTGAAGGACCCGATTTTATAGTTTATGAATAATAATTTGGACACTGTAATGTCTTTAATAGTACATTTGCTCAGTACAAGTGAATAAAATAGTAGGTAGGGGAATTGCTGTTTTCATAGGTGAATTTAAACACAGTATCTTTTTTTGCCTTAGGAAGTGTGGATATCAATGTTACTCCAGATAAAAGGCAAATTTTCCTACAAGAAGAGAAGCTTCTGTTGGCAGTTTTAAAGACATCTTTGATAGGAATGTTCGATAGTGATGTCAGCAAACTGAACGTCAGTCAGCAGCCACTGCTGGATATTGAAGGTAAAAGACTACAGGTATATCAGCAGCTTTTAAAACATAGCTGTTGTGATATTTTCCTTACTTTGTTTTGACAGGAAATAAAATCTCTTCTAGATAGAAAAGATGTGTCTCACTAGAAAGTAATCTGTTTAAAAGGAACAGAGCACCTGGCCAAGTAGCTCTGTTGGTTGGAGTGTTGTCCCCATACGCCAAGGTTGCGAGTTTGATCCGTGATCAGGGCACATTAAGGGAGGCAACCAGTGAATGCATGAATGTGTACAGCAACGCATTGATATTTCTCTCTAAAACAGAAAGAAAGAACGTGAGTCACCATTAGTGCACATTTGTGCACAGGGAGGGGCGTGTTCTCCCTGGAACTCAGCTGAATGCTGTGCAAGCCTTTTCATTTTCAGAGTTCTGAGAAAGTTGATTTGGACAGTTTTTGCCCATTTTCTCATTTCTTTGAGGGAAGAGGGAGGTTTTGGAGGCCCTCACAGTTGGGTAGTTTGCAGTTTTGGGGCCATAATGAACAAAGCTGTGGTGAGCACCCTCGTCCATGGCTTTGTCAGTATAGGCAAGCGTTTCTGACGGGAGAGGCGGGCTGGGTCCCAGGCAAGCACATGTTCAGGTGTAGGGGGCACTCCCAGCGGCCTTCACACCGCAGTGTGTCTGCCTCACTGCCACCAGCCATGTGGCAGCATCCCATTCCATCCTGCCTCGTGAATGCTGCTTGTTTTCATGCTGCCCGCTCTGGTGAGCAGACCTGTGCTTCATTAGAGGTTCTCATTTGTCTCTTTATGGTTAATGTCGAACAGTTTTCATGCTTTCTCAATTTGTATCTCCTCTTTTGCGGCGCTGTTCCTCTTGTTCCTGACACTCTCCTGTTCCTCTCTGCCCAGGTCACCTACTGAAACCGCGCTGGGCAGAGATGGAAAAGCCTGTGCCAGAGACGCAGGGGAGTCCCGCTTCGGTAGCGACGCGCGGAGAAGAGAGAAGGGCAGTGACCATTTCCAGGCTGCGGGAGGCCTTTTCTCTGCGTCACTCGGCAGAGAGCAGGCCTCAGAGCAGGCAGGCTTCTCCCAGACAGAAGGGAAGCGAGCCGTCTCCCAGGCCCTCCGACGCCCTCTGCCCCCAGGCGCCCCGCTCAGGCGCCGGCTGGTCCGGCCCTCCAGGAGGGCGGATGAGTCCAGGCGAGGACAGAGTGGAGGCAGAGGGGGACTCCGGGCATGGCAGCACCTCCGCAGGCTCAGAGGAGGGGTTCAGCACCCCGGACATGGGCAGTCACTCCAGCAGTGACCCAGCAGCCAGCTCCCCGGAAGACGGGTCTTCACAAGAAAAGATGGAGTCGTGCGAGAAATTGCCTGAAACTGGGCATCATTTTTCAGACATGGAGTGCCATTTAGAACAAGAAGACAGTGGATGTAAATTTAGAACGTGGCCTCAGCCAACTAACCTCTCAAACACTAAGCGCTTTAAAAAAGAAGGCATTCCTTTCGGTTCTGACGCCCCTCAGAAGCCGGTTAACACGCAGAACGTGCCGGCGTCTCAGGTTGACGTCGCCGTTAAAGTTGACAAGAAGATCGTGCCCCTGGACTTCTCCCTGCGTTCTCTAAGTGCACGCGTAAGGCGCTTATGTCACCAAGAGCAGCGCAGGGGCGAGCAGAACTACAGGAGGTTCCGGGCCAAGATCTGTCCTGGAGAAAACCAAGCGGCAGAAGAGGAGCTGAGGAAGGAGATAAGGTAAAGACTAGCTCTGCTCATTGGTGAGTGTGTGAGCCAGAGGCCGGGCCTCCCAGAGGCAGCTTTTGCTCCCTCTGCTGTGATGGCATCTCTTCTGGGTCAGGCCTGGGTGCGGCTCTGCCTTGGCACGGGCGCCTGGTCCTCAGGCTCCTGCTGCCTGTCAGGGGGTCCTCCCTGGGGTCTTCGTGCACCACAGACTTGTATCTCAGAACGTCAGACTTGCCCCATTTTCCTCCCTTGCTCCCTCCCTCTAGAAGATTCTAAATTTGGAGCCAGTTTGATTCCACAAAGCGGCCATTATCTGTACCAGTGCATCCCTGGCAAGGCTTTCTCCATTCACCAACTTCTCACTGCCTCGCACATCCACCAGATACATTTGCTATAAAGAACTCTTTCTGCTGCCCAAACCGTGCGAGAACTTTCCCCTTGGATGTCCTTAGCATTCATGTTCTGTCTGCCAGTCCAAGTCAGCGGATGCCTTGATCCTGATTTCCTTCCTCTTCCTCAAGCTTTTCAGCTCACAGCGACTTTTCCCCCCGTAAGGAATTCATGGCACTTTTGGTGGATGTTGCTGTTTTCCGTCTCAATGTGTATTAGGGAAAAGCAGAACACATCGTCACACCTGTGGTATTCAGAAGATACTCAGGATAAGGCTAAGGAAAAGGAGTCAATTTAAAGAAAAAGATTAATAGTACAGATAATAGAAAACACTGCCCCCTTTTTCTGTCAGTAATCACGAACAACATCGTGATTTGTTAAAATGTTGAATTCTGAAATTCTTAACTTTTGTCTTTTTAAACTTTGCCTTGCAGTTGACTGAACACACTGCAGCTGTGTAATGACACTGAACTTTTGTAGCACTTTCCATGTGGACCACATAGGCTTTGCTTAATTTATAATATAAATTCTTTTTCTTTTTTTTAAAATATATTTTATTGATTTTTCACAGAGAGGAAGAGAGAAGGACAGAGAGCCAGAAACGTCGATGAGAGAGAATCATCGACCAGCTGCCTCCTGCACACTCTCTACTGGGGATGTGCCCGCAACCAAGGTACATGCCCTTGACCGGAATCGAACCCGGGACCCTTCAGTCTGCAGACCAACGCTCTACCACTGAGCCAAACCGGTGCCGGCTAAATTCTTTGTTTTTTAAAGGCAGTCTGTCAGCCCTTGAAAAGTGAAGTTAACTGCGACTTTAAAAACAGAGATTTTCTTTAATTCAGCAAGCACTTTCTGATCAGCTGTTATTGTGGTTCTTGATTTTTTTTTTTATCCAAAAAGTAGCCTTTTAAACTGTCTCAAAATTAGCCCTTTCTCTGTGCAGTAAGACCATGTTTGCCGAGATGGAAGTCATCGGTCAGTTCAACTTGGGGTTTATAATCACCAAGCTGGACGCGGACCTCTTCATCGTGGACCAGCACGCCACGGATGAGAAGTACAACTTCGAGATGCTCCAGCAGCACACGGCGCTGCAGGGCCAGCGGCTCATCAGGCAGGTGCCCGCAGCTTCTGGATATGCAGGGTCGTTGCCCCTCCCACATGTAAGATCTAATAGCTTACATGTGTGCCTATGTATTTACACATAGATTTGCCATGAGCAGCCCTACAGAAGATTTTTATACTTTTAAAAATATATATATTTTATTGATTTCTACAGAGAGGAAGGGAGAGGGATAGAGTTAGAAACATCGATCAGCCACCTCCTGCACACTCCCTACTGGGGATCGTGCCCACAACCCAAGCATGTGCCCTTGACTGGAATCGAACCTGGGGCCTTTTAGTCCGCAGGCCTACGCTCTGTCTACTGAGCCAAACCAGCTAGGGCAGGTTTTTATACTTTTTACATAATAATAGTCATACCTGGCAGTTACCGAGTGCTTATTATATGCCAGGCACTATTGAAGCAATTTATGTGTATTAATTCACTTAATTCTCACAAACTATGAAGTAGTCACTGTTACTATCATATTAACATTTCACTGATGAGAAAACTGAGGCACATAGAGAGGTTCAGTAACTTGCTCAAGGTTACACAGTTTTGTTCTTATAAGTATCCAACATTTTAACCATCGGAAAATGTCCATCATTGGTTGGCCAGAAAACCCTCTGATGAAAGGCAGTTTTTAGTGTGTAGTACAGCTGTTTATAGCACATGGGATGTGTGTGTTCAGGCAGCATTGTCTGTGTGTCAGTCCTCAGCTGCCGCAGACAGTTCCAGTGGCTAGGTAGTCACCGCAGATTCTGCATTTTCCTGTCCTTTGCCAGATTGAATGTTGGCAACTGACCATAGGTGGTGTGATGGTATACCATGTAAACCAGAAGTATTTGCCTTTTTAAAAAAATGTTTATTGATTTATGAGAGAAGAAAGGAGAGGGAGAGAGGGATAGAACATCTATGATGAGAATCATTAATCAGCTGCCTCCTGCAGCCCTTTACTGAGGATCGAGCCTGCAACTCAGGCATGTGCCCTGACCAGGAATCAAACGGTGATCTCCTGGTACGTGGGTCAATGCTCAACCACTGAGCCACTCTGGCTGGGCTAGAAGCCTTCTTAAGCAGAATTAGAAGACGAGGCATGGAATTTCACTTGAGAAATTAAAATACATAGCAAAATAAACTCAGATCCTGAGTGAAGAAACATACAACCAGTCACTGAGCTGGGAAAGCACAGGTTTTCCTGATAACAGCAGGAGTGCTCCAGTTCCTGTGGGATGCACGCATTGTGTTGTTTTCAGTAGAAGCAAATGGCAATGGAAGGACCTTTAATAAGCTACTTCATAACATTTTCTTAGCGGATCTTTCCCTGACCCCCTCTCTTTCCAGGTCAAGTCTCACTTTATGCTCCTAGGGCACTGGGTGTCTCTTCTTCCTGATTCTCAGTGTAGTTGTAATTTATTTGACTGTTTGATCAATGCCTTTCTTCCCCACTAGACTATTCCTCCACTGGGCAGAGGCCGGGTCTGTGCACTCTGTCTCCTGCCTTGACCGGTGTCTGACTCGGTAAGCTCAGGAGGAGATGGCTGCATTGCCCGATGGTAGGTGGAGAGAGAAACAGCTCAGGCAGAGGAAGGAGTCGAGTACAAAATAAATGTTACTCCCTTTTCAAGCGCCTGTAATGATCTACCCCAGCTTTTCCAATTGTCTTTATGCGAGGAGGGGGAAAAACACACAAACAGCATTAAAAAAAAAAAAAGCGTTATATTTTATTTCAGGAGAAGATTCAGAAAAAGACAGGTGGGATGGCAGATTCATGAAAAGCAACTTACTTTTATACTTTAACTTCTGAAATGAACTTAAAAAAAATTAAAAGGAAATTCTCAGAAAGTTTTGTGACAGGAAAGGCACATACCTCAATGAAGTGTTACTATTCACCTTGCTTTTTGAAACAGATTCAGGAATGCACAGGATTGTTTTAATGCGTTATACCGGAACGTTTGACTTGAGGAGATGGTTTGACTCTCCTGGTTTTTCAGACCCCAGACTCTCAACCTGACTGCTGTCAACGAAGCCGTCCTGATGGAAAACCTGGAGATCTTCAGGAAGAATGGCTTTGATTTTGTTATCGATGAAAGTGGTGAGTTATTACTGAAGACCTTAAAACGGTGCCCTTTCAGAGCGGGGACCAGTCTCTGAGGTGCTTTATAAGCAGTGAGGATGGCTGCCCTCTCTGTCAGATGTCCAGGACAGGTAGCACTCCAACGAAACACATTTTTCAACTAATGAATTTTTTCTGCAAATTTTATTCTTTTAGCTCCCGTCACGGAAAGGGCTAAATTGATTTCCTTGCCAACTAGTAAAAATTGGACCTTTGGACCCCAGGACATTGACGAGCTGATCTTCATGCTGAGCGACAGCCCTGGGGTTATGTGTCGGCCCTCCCGCGTCAGGCAGATGTTTGCCTCCAGGGCCTGTCGGAAGTCTGTGAGTAAAGGAGCACATGGGCCCGGACCCCGAGGGTCTGCTCCCTCCAGTCCTCAGACGCTCTCAGCTCAGCTGCTGAGCAGTCAGCATTGTGCATGTGGTTGTGACGGCCACAGATCATTGTACAGCTAGAGCCTCATCGCTGTCAGCCTGACACACCATCTCCACATGTCTGCGTTATCTCTGACTCTGCCCCACAATTACTGCTTTTCCTCTACTTCCATTGAGCGTATTCTCTCTCAGAGGTTCGTTGGTCCCAGCGCAGTTAGCTATCAGGCATGTTGTTTGTCTGTGGACCCTGTGGATATTAACAACGTTGGTAGGTAGAGAGCTGCTGCCGCCCTGCCTGCACACAAGTCCTCAGGGTGACGTGAAGCTTTGCACATCAACTCACTGCGGGCTGGAGGCGGGAAGGGGCCCAGTGACTGGTCTGCAGACAAGAGCAGCAAACGGGCTGGAGGGCAGGATGGCCAGAGCCTGCACCCTCAGGCGGCAAGGAAAGCCCAAGACAGCCAGCAGCCCTGAGTGCTGACCCGTCCCTCTGCCTGGGTTCCCTGCCTCACATCCCATCGCCACATCCCTGGCCCCCTCTGTCCCTGGGCCCTGAGCATCCCCCGAAGTGGCCTCTTCCCAGCGCCCTGAGTGATAGCTGTCTTTGTTTCTGTTAACCTGTCTGTGTCTGTGTCCCTCCAACATGGCAGAGTGCTGCCCCCTATCCTGCCTCCAGGACTGGGCCAGTTTCAGGCTTGTCACCTCTCCATCTCCTTGTTTCTGAGGGCTGCCGTTTGTTTTGAGTGGCATGACCCACCTCCCAGTATATGTCAGGTAGTGATGGGCTGTGGAGGAAAGGCAGATAGACGAGGAGAGCTGGCTCTCTGAGGAGGCAGGGGCATAGGGCAGAAGCCCGAAGGGAGCGGGGAAGTGACATTGGGGGAGAGTCCCGGTAGAGGGCAAAGCCAGTACCAAGGTCCTGAGGCTGGCACTGCCAGTGTGGCTGCAGTGGGGGGAGGGAAGGAATATGCTTGCAGCGCAGGCCTGAAGGCATTGAGGGCCAGATCAGGCGATGCACCTGCGCGGTTACTCAGGTGAAGAGCCAGGAGCTCTGACTCCTTTCAAAGAGATTCTTGGCGGCTGAGTGGAGGCCGGTGGGTGAGGTGAGGAGGAGCAGGGAGGCCGTAAGGAGGTCACTGCAGTGCCGAGATGACAGGGGAGGGCGGCTGGCACAGAGGTTGGCTTCTGGGCAGGTGGCGGCACCTTGAGGAAAGGGGACGGAGCCAGGGGACGGCTCAGTGGGCACTAGGATGTTAGAAGGCAGTGATGGGGAAGACTTCTCAGGGAAAGTTGTTTTTGAGTTGTCACCTTGTCCAGCTTTGTTTAGAGAAAATTTCAGCTGAGCTGTTATTCTAACACAGACCCAATAACACCTGAAACTTGTGTCTGTATTCAGGTGATGATCGGAACTGCTCTTAACACGAGCGAGATGAAGAAACTCATCACGCACATGGGGGAGATGGACCATCCCTGGAACTGCCCCCACGGCAGGCCGACCATGAGGCACATCGCCAACCTGGACGTCCTTTCCCAAAACTGACCTTGTTTGTGCACTGGACTTTTCTGTTTGGCAAGACAGGGTCTAGCCATTATGTTTCAGAATTAGCCCACTTAAAAAACGGCACGTAGCTGTGCCATTCAGAAATGATGTTGAGAGCCTTTTGAACCATGTGGAGTATTGCTGCAGTGTTTTATGTTCTGAATTTACGTGTGTGTATATGTGCACCTGTGTGTGTGCCTCTGTGTGTGTGTGCGCACGCCACTGTGTGTGTGTGTGTACAGGCAAGAGCATGTTTTTTCAATGCTAAGCCTAATGATAATTAAGTCGGTAATGGTTTAATTTCATATATTTAAAATTATGATCCTCTTGGCTCACAGTTCTCAACCCTGATGTACATAAAAATTTTTTTAAAAAAAGGAATAATCTGGAAAACTCAGTGAGGATTCTCCGGCTGGGAGAAAGGACCAAGAGGAGCTGGGTCATGATTTTTAAATCTTCCCCTGCGCGGCAAGGGCGGCACGGCGCTGTTGTAGGCAAGGGGAAATAAAAGTTTGGAGTTGTCCGTAATCTAATGCTGTGATGTGGTTTCCTTGGGGTGTGAGCTGCAAGACATCCCAGTTACTGGCTCGGAGTGGTACCAAGGATATTGGTTCTCAGTGGTATGGAGATGGAAGAATCCCTGTGTTTTATCAAATCGTTTTTCATGGAATCTCATCCCATTTGAACTCTGCCAAAATGCAGCTAAAAAATGCCGTCTGTGGAGTCCAAGTGGCAAGTGTAGGGCCTTCCCCCCCCCCCCCCCCCCCGCTTTCGCCCTCCCAGCCCAGACCTCGGCCTCCTGGGAGAGAGGGCTTCCATTCCAAAACTTAGAATTCATTCTTCGCTGTAATGGGACAGCCAAGGAATAATTATTGCCAGTTACTGTGCCAAGCTCAGGCTGGTGGCCTGTCTGCAGGGCCTTATTTAATGTTTTTGAGAACTCTGCAAATTGGGGTTTCTGGCCTCAAAGATGCCATGTCCTAACCCCAGACCCTTGAATATGGGGTTTTGTAGGTGTGAGTAAGAAATGAGCTGAGAGGTGGAGGGCCTATCTTGCCTTGGCTGGGTGGGCCCAGTCTATCCCATGACTTACACGTGGGGAACCTGGGAGAGGCAGCCACTGACTTGGAAGATGCAGGAAGGCAGACTCTGGAGGTGAGAAAACAGATTCTCCCCTGCAGCTGCCAGAAGGAACCGGCCCAGTTGGACGCCTAATTTACAGAAAGGTAAGATGATAAATTTGTGTTGCTTTAAGCCCCTAGGCAAGTTTGTGTGATTTCTTTCCAGCGCAAAGGAAAACTAACACCTGAGTTAATTATTCTGTTTTGGGGAAGCGGAAGGGTGAGAGAGGTCATGGGGCAATTAGCAGAGGTGGGAGAACCCAGGTCAGGTGCGTCCAGCTCCAGATTGCCACCTGACCTGGAGCGAAAGGGCAGAGAACTTGTGCTTCTAGGAAGCTCGGCCCCTTTAAGGGCGGGGCGGGGCGGGGCTTGCTGTTGCCTGGAGGCGGGCCTGGCCCGGACGCGCCGAGCCGCGGTGAGCATTGCTCACCTGGTGGGCCCGGTGTCCGAGCCCAGGGAGCGCCCCGCGAGAGCTCCCGGCGCCCCAGGCCCTGCGAGGGCCCGAGCCGGTGCGTGGTGGGCGAGGAGGGCCTCAGGGGAGGGCAGCCAGCTAAGGGACCCCCGCTCGGAACTCGCGCTCCTTTTATGCTGCCTCGGGAAAGAATAAACAGGAGAACACGGTGTCTAGGCAGGGAGGACAGGAAAAGATTAATGAGAATCACGCCAGGAGAGAGGAACTTGCCTGTCGTTCAGATTTCACTGCTGTGGGACCAGAAAGCCTGTATAGGAAAAGCCTGTCCGAGTTCAGATGTGAGCGGCTGGCTTAGCTGAGAAGACAGTATGGGGTTGGGTGGAGACTGAGAGAGTGACTTTAAAAAAAATAATAAAAAAAATATCTATCTATATATATATATAATTATTGATTTTTTACAGAGAGAAAGGGAGAGAGAGAGCTAGAAACATCGATGAGAGAGAAACATCGATCTGCTGCCTTCTGCACAACTCCCACTGGGGATGTGCCCGCAACCAACGTACATGCCCTTGACCGGAATCAAACCTGGGACCTTTCAGTCCGCAGGCTGACGCTCTATCCACTGAGCCAAACCTGTTTCAGCGAGAGTAATTTTTTTTTTTAAAGAGTAATTCATCTGTTGTTACTCCTCACCTGAGGATATTTCTCTATTGGTTTATAGAGAGGGGAAGGAGGAGGGGAAACAAAGAGATAAGTACATCAATGTGAGAAGACACATAGATTGGGTGCCCCCACCTCCCACCATCCACACCCTGAACCAGGGCCAGGCGTTGAACCTGCAGGGATTGACCTGAAATCAAATCGAGATCCTTCAACTGGCAGGGTGGTGCTCTATCCACTGAGCCAGTCCGGCTAGGGCGAGGGGAGGCTTTGAATGGAGAGAAGAAGCAGGACTGTACGTGCTAGAGGTGGGGGCAGGGGAGGTTCAGAGGATGCCCTCCAGGCAGCAGAGTGCATGGGGCACCCCCTGTACCCTCTGGGCACACTAAGAGGGATGGTGCCTGGTACTCCAGGACTGGGATGCTTTCGGTGGGGCCGGTTTTAGAGGACTACGGACACTAGGGCTTTGGTGTCGTACCCCTCAGCTCGACCTTGACACCCTGTTCCTGGCTTGCTTAGGGGGTGCTCGCTCAGCCAATGGTAGTGCTGGCACAGGGAGTAAGGGGCCAGTGACTGCAAGTTCCAACACAGGAAAGTGACATGAGATCATCACTCCTTCACTGGTTGTGTGCCCTTTCCCGTACTTTGGAAATGTTTCCTGCATCGATTTATTTAATTCTTGTAAGGAAATAAGGTGCTATTATTCCTATTTGGTATCTGGGGCAGAAGGACATTAAGTAACTTCCTCAAGAACACACAGCTGGGCAGGGGGACCAGGGAGCCGGGATCGGCTCTGAGCACCTGGCCGCAGGAGACGGGCGTTCACAGCATGGGCTGGCAGCATGCTAGACCTCAGGTTAAGCAGCCATTTTTCACGGACAGGATTACCCTTCCTGGGACACTATTTGTCAACAGTGGTTCCAATTTGAAAAATATCTAGGAACAACCAACATAACATTGAGGCTATATTATTTTTATAGACTGGTAATGCCTATTGTAATTTTTCACACTTTTAGGAGAACGGTAATGGCATTGGGTTATAAAGCTAACACTTCAGCTATGAGAGAAACCCTCAAGTCTGTAGAGACATAATTTTTATCTTTCCAGGTAAAGCTCCAACAGCTCTCAAAGGAATCGGAATCTTAAATAAAGGCCATGGTGAAAGAAAAGAGAAAAACAGACAAAAAGGTGGATAAAGCTGCCCACTCCCCCTCATCTCTCATCGACAATCCAGAGCTTTCCAAGCAAGATGGCAATTCTGCTCGACTAGTAGTGTCCCCAGTCATCGCCCCGCAGTTGGGACAAAGCGAACCGGGATCCAAAAGGGGGTCCCGAAATGATAATCAGCAGGCAGAAGACACCTTTCAGTATGAAGACCCCATTCTGACCAACCTCATCATCGAAAGGTGATCTTACCGGGCTGCGCGGCTCTCCTCTCTGCTGAGCTTGGGGTCTCAGGCTCTCTCCCACCTCAGGGCCTTTGCACTGGCTGTTCCTTCTCACTGGGGTCCTCTTTCTGGCGTTCTTCTAATGGATGTTCTGTCTCAGACCCTTTAGGTCTAAGTACAACGCTCCTGTCCTCTGAAAGGCTTCCACCCTGACTGACTGTGTACAGTAGCCTCCTCCCTGGTTACTTCTTTCCCAAAAACTGAACTCGATATGGAATTTTCTTTAAAAAAAAAAAAATATATATATATATATAAATATATATATATAAATATATATATATATTTTTTAATTGATTTTTTTACAGAGAGGAAAAGAGAGGGATAGAAAGCTAGAAACATCGGTGAGAGAGAATCATCGATCGGCTGCCTCTTGCACCACCCCCACTGGAGATGTGCCTGCAACCAATGTACATGCCCTTGACCAGAATCAAACCCGGGACCTCTCAGTCCGCAGGCCGACGCTCTGTCCACTGAGCCAAACCTGTCTCGGCTGGAATTTTCTTGTTCCTTTGTTTCCTGTTTATTGTCTGTCCTCAGTGAACACAGTTCACAGTTCTTGGCCTGGCGAGTAGGAGGGGACAAGCATCCGGCGGCCCTCAGGGAGTGTTTATTGGGTGAACAAATGTGACAAGTGCTTCTTCATTCACGTTAATTATTTATCTTAACCCCCTGTCACGTGGGTTCACTCAGGTCATGACCTTGAGTCTTGTTTCTCTGTAGCTACGAAGGGGAGAAAGTCCATGGACTCTATGAGGGAGAAGGCTTTGCTGTCTTCCAGGGAGGCTGCACCTACCAGGCGAGTGACACATCCGGGCTGGGCGGGGAGGAGGGCGTGGGGTGGTGATAGTTTCAGACAAACACACTGATTCTCCAAAAGAACCTGGAAGTCCTGACTGCTGATTTTAAACACTGTCTCCGTATTTTAAGGTAAAAACATGGCTCAGCACAACTGAAATAGTCCTTTTATTGATCTCTATTTATTGTACAAACATTAAGGTCACTACAGTAAAGAATGAGGAATAAAAGCCAGTATCATCATCCTCTTGCCATAAATGTTTTTAATTTGCTATGTTCCTTTCATTTCTTGAATGGATGTATCAGTGTTTTCACCTGGGAATATTCATTAAAAATTAAAAAAAAATTTTTATCCTCACCTGAGGATATGTTTGTTTATTTTAGAGAGGATGGGAGGGGGGGGAGCGGAGAGAAACATTGACGTGGGAGAGAAACATTGACTGGTTGCCTCCTACACCCTGACCAAAGATTGAGTCTGCAACCTAGGTATGTGCCCTGACTGAGAATCAAACCCATAACCTTTTGGTGTATGGAACCGATGCTCCAACTCACTGAGCCAGGGCT